CTGAATCTAACTGTGTTGTGCTGAGTCTTCTCTGTGCAGGTGGGTGTGTCTGGAGAGCAGCTGGAGAGCAGCTGCTACCTATCTGTTCATCAGTGGTCAGGGGATTTAAGGAGCGTTGGGACAACTCATCAGTACCGGATGATACTCAGCATTGGGTAGAACTTTGCCAGCACCTAGCTCATGTCTGAAAACTTGTTATTTTGTGTATCTCGCCGTCCTGAGATTATCTGTCCTGTTCTCCTCCGACCTCCTCAGGAAACTTCTCCTCCACCAACCAAGCCTCCATCAGCTGCAAGAAAACTCATCGGATTCCAACCCTGTCTGCCAGTCCCGTCGCTCACCCCTGACCGCCTGCTCTCCAAATCCCCACCTGCCAACTCGGACACCTCCAACTCTGGTACTCAGCTCCCAGCCTCACCTGACTCTCGCTCTTCCAGCTCAGCCAGCCGTGACTTGCCCACCCCTCTCAGCCTTACCAACAACCAGGAAACTGTAAGCTACAAACTCATTTCTTTCACGGTCAAACCTGCATATACTCACTCCAGTCTCTGTTCTAGAACCCCACCGGAACCATCGGATCTCAGACCATCATCTCCTTCGTACATTATAATAAACCTTTTTTTTACTTACCTTTGTCTCCGTGCATGATTCTGCATGTCGTGGGTCAAAAAGCTGCAGCCCAGCATGACAGCACTGAACTGTACAATGTCAACAGCAACTTTTAAGTCAACAAAGATACTGCAGAAGTGCTTAAAAAAGTGCATATTTATAACTATAAAGTATATTTAATACAAACATACCTTTGAAATGCAAAGCATTTTTCATATGCACACTTAGATGCTCCTCAATCTTTGCCCTGACAGTAGGGTTGAAAGTGGGGCACAGAGGGCAGTGAATGAGTCCTCTGCAGCACGTGTTGCATTCCTGCAATTCTGGCTTTAAGCCCGAATTCCAGATTGATATGTGCATCTAAAACAGAGAGAAAAACAGATAAACAGCATATACACATTTAAGTTCAGGTTTTAGCAGAAATAACACATTACAGTTAGCATGTAATAGATTTGGGAGGAAAATTCTTGAAAAAACCAAACATTTTACAAGACACTTTCATTTGTGAGATATGTTTCTATTGACATATAACAGTCAATTGAACAGGGGCTAACTAAAATTTGGGCAATAAAAAAGCTGTACAGAATAGAATAACGAATAGAAGTATTGATAAATATAAAAATCTGTGACGAAATTTACGGTGTTGATGCTAACCTATCCTGTCAAAAGTGAGTGCACCCCTTGGCATATGTTTCATCTTCTTTGTTCAATTTTGTATACAATTTGTTTGTATACTTATCACCTTGTTCAATAAAGTTTTGAGAAAAAAAATTAAAGGTGTCAAAAGTGCACACGTTCCTTACTACAGTTTAGATACCTCTGTTTAACAATAGTCAAATAAAAGTAGAAGCATTGACTCGACTTTTTAGTCAAGTGGAAGTAAGAAGTACAGGGTATAAAATATAATTTATGTACAAAATTCTGAAGTAATCTTGCGTCCAAAGCACGGATTACAAAGTACAGACCTGCGTGCTAAAATGTGAGAAGTAGAAGTATAAAGAAGTATACAGTAGGCACAAAAAAGTACAGCAGTTAAGATACCAGAAAATTCTACTTAAGTACAGTATTGAAGTATTCGTTATTTTGCATCTCTGACGCCAACAATAAATCATACTCTAATGCAAAATGTGTTTTTTCTTCTTCTCGCCCACAGAAGCCGTTAATCCAACCCTCTTACTTAAACCAGGCCCAGGAAAAAGCATATCTGTGTGTTCCTCTGCCATGGAGCACGATGAAAAAAAAAAATTAAAATAAGAAGGAATGTTGTTGTAACGCAAAAAAAAGTGGCAACCTGATCATTGTAAGAAAACTAGAATTATGAAATCACTAATGGCAAGTTTATTTAAGAAAGACTGTCCCAACCTTTGCGAGCGACTAGCAAGACGTCCGCTGTATCCATGAGTGTTTATTGCTACTGCGGAGGGCACGTGCTTCCGGCTACTGTGTAGGTCACGTGTTTCCGGTTTGTGTGGAGGTCACGTGTTTCCGGTTACTGTGGAGCTCCACAGTGGCCGCAGCCAGACCCTTCTCGTAATTTTGCCAAAAGAAAGCCATGTTTCAAAGCTCATTCTTCAACATATCCATGAAAAGATTGGTCACAGAGGAAGAAATCACATGCTTTCAACACTTCGCCACCACTACTGGATCCCACATGCTAATTCAGCAGCTAGAAAAATTATCAAAGACTGTATGGTGTGTCAAAGACAAAGGCAAAAGCCAGGTGAGCAAAAAATGTCTGACCTTCCCATTGACAGAATTTCAGCAGATTTTCCACCATTTACTTATGTTGGTGTTGATTACTTTGGACCAATAGAAGTAAAAAGAGGCAGGAGCATTGTTAAAAGATATGGAGTTCTCTTCACATGCCTAACCTGTCGTGCAGTTCACCTTGAGGTGGCACATTCTCTTGACACAGATTCCTGCATAAATGCCATCAGAAGATTCATCTGGCGAAGAGGACAAGTCAAGGAAATCAGGTCAGACAATGGAACCAATTTTGTCAGCTCAAATCGTGAGTTAGAACAAGCCATCTTGGAGTTAAAACAAAGTAAAATCCAAAACACTGTGGCACAGGATGGCATAAAGTGGACATTTAACCCACCTTATGGGGCACACCATGGTGGAGTGTGGGAGCGGCTGGTGCAGGAAGTAAAGAGAATACTGTGCTCTATTACAAACCAGCAAGTTCTAGATGACGAAGCCTTACATACAGTTTTATGTGAAGTGGAGGCTATCCTGAATGACCGCCCAATTACACCTTAATGATCCTGATGATTTGGAAGCCTTGACTCCAAATCACTTACTCCAATTAAAGGGTGAGCCTGTGCTGCCGCCAGGTTTATTCAGAAAGGAGGATTCTTATGTCCGCAGACGATGGAGACAAGTCCAATACATTGTGGATCTGTTCTGGAAACGGTGGGTAAAAGAATACCTTCCCATGCTACAGGAACGACGAAAATGGACCAAGATTCGCAGGAACTTTGCCACTGGTGATGTTGTACTCGTGGTGGATGAAACTGCACCAAGAAATTCTTGGCCTATCGGACGCATCACTGAAACTATGGCAGATGCACATGGCTTGGTACGCCGTGTTCGAGTCAAGACAAGGACAAACCTACTGGAGAAGCCGATCAACAAAGTATGCCTCCTGATAGAGGCCATCTAGAGGGAACAGTGAATGTTTGCCTCCAACTGAGCTAAGTTCTGGAACCTCTGGCTCTACATTTACACAGATTCATTTACTGACATGCTGAACATCTCATTATATAACATACACAAATTGAAGAAAGAAGAAAAGAACTTAAAAGAGGACATTGACTTCTGTTTTTGTTCTAAGAAGACATGTATGGAGAACTTAAAAAAGGGGGGGTTTATTTCCTTTATGAAATGTTGTCTGTCAAAATTTGAATGAATTGTTTGAGAAAAGGAAAGCTAACACATGTTTAATTTAAGTTTGTTAATGTTAATAATCCATTTTGTAACGGCCACTTGTTAGAGGTATAGATCTAATTTGTGTTAAACATGAATTGGGGGCCGGAATGTGGTGGCCATTTCAGTAAAATAGCATAAATCTGTTAGTTATAAATGTCTTTTAGAATTTCTTATCATTCCTTTTATAATAAGTTAAGTTTGCAATTTAAATATGTTAATTTTTTATTTTTTTGGTAAATTGATGTAGTTGTGAACTTTTTGGACACGCCTTAGTCATTAAGCTGATTAGTAGCACATGGGGAGGCTTGTGGGAAAATGTTTGTTTGCCAAGTGTCAGGGGAGATGGGAGGATTTTGGTTAAATGATTTTTTGACCATTTTTTTAGACCTGATAATTTAATTTAAGGTTAATTTTCGTTGGATGAAAAGTAGAACATTTTGAATGAATTTTGAACTTTTTTGTTTTTTGAAGAATAAATCATTTATACAATTTGCAAGAAATCAAGTCTAAAAGTGCATGCTTAAAGGAAATCACCCGTTCTCACCAACGGCCTTTAGTTGGAAATCATTTTTTGGAAGTTTAAAGGCCGTGACAAAACAGTTGTTTTGTAATAACGCGAGATTTTTTGGAGCTCTCCGACTGAAGGGCCTGGCTGTTTGTTAATTGACGTTCAGTCGTGGACATCTGGGATGTTTATAAAGAGATTAATTTAATACACTACTTTTTAAAAGCACGTAGCTAAACATCGACTATACAAATGTCGGGCTAGGTGTTGTCGGTTAGAAGCGGACAGGTGAGTTTTATGTCGCTCCTTTTATTGGGTGTCAGTTAGGATCATCCCTGCTAGACAACGGTTGTCTCTGCATCGCTGTTTTTATCAGAAAATGCTACGGTGCGGTTAGTATCTGCTTTACTTACATGCCAAAGTTTAGCATCAAACAGCCTGGTAGGTTTTAGTAACACATCTGATTATATTTGGTATTTACTGTATCACCCATGATGCTTTGAGCTTTTTTTTTTAGGCACATTTACCTTAATTGTGACTGGTGTTTTTTTTATTGTCCTAAAAAGTTGTAACAACAATAAAATGTGGAAAAATGCTCCCAATCAACAACTACCAAAGAAAATTGGGATAAATGTATGATCTCAGCTTTTTTTGGTGGTAATATGAAAAGTATAATCATATATTTTCCATAATTTCGTATTAAAAACCGAAAAAAATCTATAACTAGAAGTAGAAACTGGCAGTTTTTCTTTCATAAATTTGATCAAAAATGGTGCAAGCATTTGGGTAATTTATTTAAACTTTAAATGAGTTTAAAGGTTCTTTTGAAACTCACAAGCAACTACTGAGGAGCTGCAAAGAGATGCACATTTATTAGTAGCTTGTGCTCGGTAGTAATCATGGAAAACTAACATTAGTTCTTGTTTTATTTTTGGATCCATTCACCATGAAGGAGGGACGTTCGTGACACCATGAGTCCTCCAGCTTAGCCCACGGTCTTCTGCATTTGTCACAGGAAAATCTGGTTGCACTCAGCAGTAGGAGCTGAACACGTCCATTTTTCCTCCTAATTCTTGTCTTGCCTTGAGGAAAAATATGAGAGGACATGCACAATGAATAGATACACCACCATCAGACAGCTTGGGGATGGCACCTATGGATCGGTCATCCTTGGCCGCAGTCTGGAGTCAGGAGAGCTGGTTGCTATAAAGAAGTGAGTATTTGGCAACTTCCTCATTTTTTAAGAGCTTGTGATCTGTGCAGCATTGTGTGCTGACTTTCTATTTTACCAAATGACATGTAGAAGAGATGCTGTGCAGCAACATGAAGCAATGATTAGAGGTAATTCAATAGAAATCTGTATTTTCCAGAATGAAACGAAAGTTCTACTCTTGGGAAGAATGCATGAACCTTCGAGAAGTCAAGGTAAGTTTCACCAGTCATATGAGAAAATAAACCAGACAAAACAAAAATGTTACCCGTATCATTAACCTTGGTTTTACCGTAAACGGTACAAATTTACCTGTCACAAAAAGTGGTGCTGCCAGAGAAATTTCTAGGGGTGGCAATGCCCCCCCCCCCCCCCCCCCCCATGCCACCGATGGTGGGCACTACTAATCAAAAGTGTTGATGGGCATCGCTTTAGTCATTATTTTAATTTATGAACTTAATTCATCATGAAATATACAAATGCTGATTTGTGTGTGATGTTATTAGTTGACAAATAATTCAGTACATTTCCCCCATACCAGTTTAATATGTTACTGTTCAGATTTCCTCCCACCAGCACACAGAGCAGAAGGTGATTCTTGTTTTTATTTTAGCTCCTGGTCCACATGACCACCTGATCCTTTCTTTGTAGAGCTTGGTCTTATTGTAGCAAAACATAAACATGCTGAGGGTCCTGCTGAGTAGTTCACAATTACAGCATGTCACTGTTGGCTCTCAAAGCCTTTTTTCAGCTTCTCCCTTTTGACTAAAACTGTAGCATGGTTGAACATTCATCATCCCAGTGCATCCCGCTACCTTTTAAATTTTCAAGAGCAAATCCCTCTTTTGCAGCATTTTCCCCCAAAAAAACTTCACTATTTTCTTGAATTTACCCAAGAAATAATGGTATGGATAGCTGTAGGTAGAGCATGCCTTTGAATGTGACCTGTTTGCTCTCCCTCCAGCATGGTCAAGATTCAATTATTTACTCCCGCCTTTACTTCCTGTTTGTACATTTCTTACACAACCTGTTTCTTTATTCTTTCAGTCACTAAAGAAACTCATTCATGAAAATGTGATCAAACTAAAGGAGGTCTTTCGAGAAAATGATCACTTGTACTTCATATTTGAGTACATGAAGGAGAACTTATACCAGCTAATGAAAGATAGGTGTGTACATTTTGGCGTTTTTGCACAATTTATGCACATTTGAGGAAAAAGCTCAATGTTTTCTAAATTGTTTTCTCTTTTCTTGCTCTACAGCACGTTTGTTTCCTGAATCTGCCATCAGAAATATTATGTTTCAGATCCTGCAGGGACTCGCATTTATCCACAAACATGGTGCGGATGCTTCTCAGTCGTGGTACGACTAACGGTTAGTCCCATCGGAGTGAGGAGGATGATGATGTATTGTGTCTCCACCAGGGTATTTCCACAGGGACATGAAACCGGAGAATCTTCTGTGCATGGGTCCAGAGCTGGTGAAGATAGCCGACTTTGGACTCGCCCGCGAGATCAGATCTCGACCACCGTACACAGACTACGTCTCAACTAGATGGTGAGTTGTAAATGGCCTGTATTTGTATAGCGCCTTCTTAGGGGTCTACAACCCCCCAAGGCGCTTCACAACACAATCAGTCATCCACACACATTCACACGCTGGTGGGGATAAGCTACGATGTAGCCACAGCTCAGCTGACCTGGGGCACACTGAGAGAGTCGAGTCTGCCGTAGGCAAGGCAGGTTAAGTGTCTTGCCCAAGGACACAACAGCATTCTATTTATTTAAATCAGTAAATGAGGAAATAAAATTGTGAATAAATGAATGTGGAAATAAAAATGGACAAAAAATAAATGAGAAAAGAGTTAGAGCCAAAACTACCGTTCTTTCTTACCTTCTTTCTTATTTTCATTCCTTTTTCCTTTAAGAACCTCACTAGCACAAGAAATCCTAAGAATTAATTCACTACTTAAGGTTAATTCATAAATAACGAAACTGCAGTTACATGTTTGTTTGTATATGGTATTGGTCATCAGCAGTTTTTCCATATTTCCTCATTTAGAAGTGTGTTTCTGTTCTACTTCTCCATCTATAACACAGATTAGTATCATCCTTAAAGCATCTGAAATTAAGCTGCATTGCTAAATCAATAACGTGATTCGTGCTAAGAAATACTCCCCTATCCTCTTTTTACCTACTCCTTTTTCCAGTGGCAGTGATTCCATGACAGATTTAGATCAATTTAACGTTTTATTACTATTACGTTTCATTTAATTAATTTTCCTTTTTCTCTTTTATTTTATTTATTTATTTTATTTATTTATTTATCATGCCATCCTGTGATGATAAACAAAGACTTTTTTAGCCAATTGTCGTCTTACCCCTTGTGATACACTGGTTCCTATAAAAGATCAGACACCTAAACACCTCTTTCCCTTTTACCCAACCAAACTAGGGAGACAGATTATTATGTTCTCATTATCCAGCATGACTAACCATTGTTGAGGCTCTTTTGTAATGTAGCTGATGAATGTAGAGTGATTTTATGGGTGTTGCCCTACACTTTCACACAGCAAATCAGTAACGACAGTATTGGTGAATAGTATAATGCATATAATGCTTTCAGACTCAAAATGCTTCACGCCTTTCTCCTCCCTTCTACAATTTTACTTTATCTATGTCTTTACATATTTTATGTGGGGTTTCTAGCAGAGCTCATGGCCATGCATAAGTCTCTAAAAAGGCTTATTTTCCCAGTTTAATTTCTTTTAATAATTTTTCCCTACACTCTTTTTACTGTGATACTGTTTTATTTTTATTTTGTTTTCTCCTCACCGACACATCCACATCTATTTTCCTCCAATTCCCATGCAGCATGAATATAGCTCTGTTTACCTTCAGTGACACCTAATTTAAGTCAAACTAAAATTTCAGTTTAGCCAATTTCGGCTGTAGCCAAATCCAAATGTTCTCGCAACGTCATTCCCGCAAAAAGCCAATTAAAAATGTTATGTTAAAGATTTCACAAGATGAAAAATGTGAACTTAGTTTTTATCGAACGAGAGGTACAATTATTCAATATTATATAACATTATTTACTACGTTAGAATTCACGGCTGATAGAAAAATATAGGATCAGGTTTGGTTAGATCTGTTGGGAAACTCAAAGGAGACAAAACAACACTGTTGTCTCGGATGAGATGTACCATGAATCATTTAGTCAGCTAAATGCCTAATTATTAATTAAATTGTTGTTTTTATTCAATTTATTGATGATGTACTCTCAAACGTACTTCAAAACTGGTGGTTAAGGAGAAAAAACTGTTGAAGCCTAAAGCGTTCTCCTAGACTTATAAATAGACACTGTTTCCTTAACCATTGAAAATAAGCGATGATGCTTATGAATCGCTTTTTTTTTAAAGAAAATGAGGCTTTACTGCATGTCCGCTGTAGCTGAGTATCCTACGATTTGCAGAAATAAGAAAAGTCATTCAGTCAACTAAGAAACCTGATGAATACCAAGAAGTTGTTGTGCAATGAGTTATCTACTTTACCACTATTTCATCCAAATTTTGTTAATCATATAAGCTATGATAGAAAGCTAGGATAGGCTATAGAGCAAACACAGAGAAACTTGACACTTGCGGTTTTCCAAATCTCGAATCATACTTACAATAAAGATTATATTGACATCCAATGGTGAGTTGGACCAGGTTACTAATCCTATTTTTTTAAGGCTAACTTTCTCAGTTAACTATGTTCTGCAGTAGTTTAGTAAATTTTTCACAATTCTGACATTTCACCACATCAACTGATTGTTGCCAAAAAGCTCTCTCCATTACCTAACTGCAGCAAACACTCCTTCACTGGGTAGCCCCTACGGGGAAACAGTCTCTCTTTGAGAAGTCCAGTATGACCCCAGTCATTGATTAAAGTTCACATGTTGGCACATGTGCTCCTCCCCTTTGTCGTTGTTCCACCTGCAGCCGGGCAAACAAACGCCTGTCCCATTGTGTCCATCTCATAGTGCTGCCCCATTTCGATGTTATAATTCACAGCTTGTGGTGGGGACTTCCTGCTCCGTTTGTGTAGAGCCAGATCCAGGAAACTTTCATTTGCGTCCGCCTCTGTGACGGGCCGACCCAGTAAAATTCCTGCCACCACAGTTAACAGCAAATGTCTTCCTTAAATATGTTGATTGGGTTGAAATGACAGAACTTTCTCTTTTACAAATCAACGATGGCTTCTAATAGTTAGTCGACTTTACTAACTCAAAGGTAAATCTAGACTACTTCCTAGGTACAATTGTCCTTAATCATCAAATCAGTTATACACAGGTTTTAATCATTAGGCACAATTGTTCTTAAAATCTGTTCCAAACAGGTTTTAATCATTAGGCACAATCTAACCCAAAATGCAAGATCCCTCTTTTCATTTTTATTTTTGTCTATCTTATTTTGGGGAAATAACCACCAGTTTTTAATTCAAACCAGCCTGGTACAGTTTCTAGCCAGGTTACAGGAAATAATAGTTAGTTTATCAGCGTCTCAAAATCCAGACATTAACGTTAATGGTTCTTAAATTTGAGGCAAGGCAATTATTGGATTTTTGTTTTATAGCAAGATTTAACAAATATTTTATTTCCTGACTGATTATTTGTTAATTTTGTGGTTTTCATAAAGACGATCCTGAGCAGTCCAGAGCTGCTATTCCGCAGCTCCCTGTGCTATTTTTAGACTGAAGAGGTCTTGTGTGCAAAGGTGGGCGGAGTCATGTAACCATTAGAGCAAGTCAAATTGCAATTTTTGAGAGCGCTCTGAGAAACAGTTTATATATTTATTTTCTACAGATCTGTTTCGATCTTACTGTTCAGCAGCTGTCTGACTTTCAATAAATGTATATCTAAATATTCTAAAATAAAGCTGTCATTTACAACTTTCCTTGTGCTCCTTGTTTTCTCCCTTTTAATCTCCAAGCCACTATATATATATATATATATATATATATATATATATATATATATATATATATATATATATATATATATATATATATATATATATATATATATGTATGTTACTTTAAAACCTTTTATTTATTAACTTATGGTACTCTGTTCAGACTGATCAGAACAGGATTGCAGAATTTGAATTTTGCGTAACTTCAAACATTAAATTTAGCACTGCAGTGAACTTTACATATGCGAGTTGCAACTTTTAAAGCTCTTATTTATCTTATCTATTTATTTTTCTGGTACCGCATCAGGCCCTCACGCTCACACATCACCCAGCGCTGATCACCCACACGGAGCTCCCAAACCTCGGCTCTGCATTCTGCACTCTCCTAGTGCTCACGCATTCACACACTTTCATTCCAGAGCCGTAAGCAGCCTCTTGCTGCGCCTCATACACACACAACGACAGAATCCCGAGCTCACGGAAACTGTTTTACAGCCTTTCTGCTGCACACTACGACGTCATCATCAGGCCTCACATGCTTTGCCAACACTCTTAAATTTGTTACTCCTCGAGGACAAACCAAACTCAGCAAAGACTTCAACTTTTTATACAGGCCTCTTTTTTCTTTTTACTTTGCCACAAACTCTTATTAAATTTACCAATCCCCGGGGAAACACCGAATTACAGGCAAAGCTCATCTCTCACAACTTCAGCGCTTTTTCTTCAAGATCCCCGTCTCTGCTCTACCGTCAGCAGACTGGATTTCTCAAAACCTTGTCAGCTGTTCAGATTCTATTCCAATTTGCTGTCCCACCTTTAATTTGTCACTTAAAATTTGTCCGTCATCAAAATGACACAGCTGTTCACACGGTGTGAATATTTCACCTCTGTCAGACATGAATCCCCTCTCCAACTGATATTTATAGTATTATCAGAACAGGAGGACACCCCTGCCCAGTGACAGAGGCCACAAAAATGAACAAAAACATGCTCACCTGGGCCCTTCGGACCTCAGCCACCGGACAGGAGCCAAGAGACGTTACGGAAAGTCCCCGCTGTTCACCCATCTGGTGTGCCAAAATGTGGGCATTTTCTGTTATTCTTAAAGAAGGAGTCGAAGAGGGAATCTCTCAGCCGAGACAGCGTGGTCTTTTTATTCTTTCATCTCACAGCTCAGGACAGCCGAAAAAGACAAAAGACAATCACGAGTGGTCTCCTTCTTATAGCTCACAGCCTTTGAACATTCAGCAGTAAACAGGCGAGAACCGGACCGTTTTTGGTAGCACATCTCTCTGTGGAAACTGTAAGTGGAGACTTCTTGTCTGGACCACAGGAACATTTTGGAATCACATCAAGTTTTTTAGCAAGTAAGATAAGCGTCCAGCTTTTACTGGAAGCAGGCAGGCCAAAACAGGAAATTTATTCGGGTTAGATGTTGAGACAGCACACGAACTCTAGCCAGAAAACACATCTCGATAAGCTTTCAACCTAAGAACTCAGCTTTAACTCAATACATTTTGTAGATGACCTCTTGACCTTTTTGGCGCCAACATGTTAAAAGTGGAATAAAACGTTCTTCAAATGCTTTTCCCCTTTTAGAATGATTGGGCCAAGGGATACCAGCTGGCGAGTGCCATGAATTTTCGCTGGCCTCAGTGCGTTCCCAATAATCTGAAGACATTGATCCCAAATGCCAGTCCTGACGCCATCCATCTGATGACGAAACTGCTTCAGTGGGATCCAAGGAAGAGACCAGCCTCTGCTCAGGTAGCATCCATACTGCTCTCACGTCCAGGCAGACTCAATAAAAGCTAACTCTGCTTGCTCTAATTGTTTTTTAAAGGCTCTCCGATACTCCTACTTCCACGTGGGCCAGGCTTTGGGAACTCCTCAGCAGATCCTGGAGCAGGGCAGACCTCAGCTGGGCCTCGTGCATCTGCAGACACCCTTACAGATGCAGCAGCAGCAGCCTCTGTTGTTGAAGCCAGTGCCCCCCTCCCAGCCTCCGCCTTCTAACCAGCACTGCTCCTCCTCCAGGCCGCTCCATCAGATCCAGACCTCCCCTGCACCAGCAGCTGCCCAGGCGGCAGCTTACCAGCGGCACACGGAGATGGTTCGGAAGCAGCAGCAGCCGAATCACATCCTGAAACAGGAGCAGACGGAGGGAACCTCTCAGCGCCGTCTCCCTTACATCGTAGACAAGGGCCACCAGGAAAAGGTGTGGAAACCTTTCATGTTTTTATGGAAGGAAGCCTTTTGGGATATTCTGAGCTTGTCTAACACCCGTGGTTGATGTTTGTTTTGTAGCAAACGCAGCAGGATGTACACAATTTAAGCCTGCTTGGCTATCAGCTGAAGCCTAAAGGAGGGCGGCGGCGTTGGGGACATGCAGCTGGACACGTTAAAGGAGAAGACTGGGACAACTACGAGGAGACTGATCCGTCCTCCATCAGTATCCTTGGAAAACCTAACTTCTCATCAGAGAAGTCGAGACAAGGAGACGACTCTCTGAGCAGGTGACTCTACTGATCACTCGGGTTATGTACGAAGTGTTTAAAAAACATAAATCTACGACTGGTTTGCTTCTCTGCTAGCCTAGTGAACTAGACCAAATTCTTGCTTTGCAAAGTTTGGTCTAGGCATGCTCCATTTGGAACCTCAGCAGCTCGTACCAGGACTCTGGCTAGCCAATCACAGCTCTCTAGAGGGGTTTCAAACACATAAAGAGCTGTGATTGGTCCATAACTGTGGGCCAATCATAGTGCTCTATCTGCTTAGTGAACAAATCACAGTGCTTTATCCGCTTTGTGGGCCAATCAGGGCACTCTATATGCCTGGTGGGTGGGATGATGCAACAGAGTGAAACAAGAGTATGTCACATTCATTGTCCAGTGGAATGCGGAGATCATTTGAAAGACAACAGTAGAACCCGCCCCACAACCGAGAGCCGTCAATGGAGCATGGCCAGACTAAAAAATACATTTATTTAGTCTGGCTTGCCAGGCTACTTCTCTGCAGGTTTGGAACTGTTCTGGATTTCAGTCGACGCAGCGGAAAAGAAGATGCACCTTTAAACCTGAACAAGACCGCAGCCTATCAAGAGCCATCAAGAACGGCCTCTGCCAAGCAGCATTACCTGAGGCAGTCCAGATATCTACCTGGTATTATACGTTTCTTTTTTATTTGTGACTTTAATAAATATTGGTCAGTAATCTCTTCTTGTCTCCTTCAGGCATCAGTACTAAGAAGAACATAGCCATGAATGCCAGTAAAGAATTCCCAGGAAGCCATTTTTGTGGCAGCAGCAGTATTGCGTTTGGAGGGACCCTGCCAAGCAGAGGAGCTCATGGTAACATCGTTGTAACCATTACCTTGCTTTTCCACCGGGTGCGTAATGTGGCGCATAGTGTAAGCAGAGCGTGATGATGTCTTCCCCACAAACTCAGCAGCACGCACCTTCCCACCAGGAGCATTTCAGGTATGAAACTGCAGCGAATGCTTTCCACGCTGTTGGTCCTGCAAGGTCACAAAATCACCAGAGAATTGCAAGACCGTTCAGGATTTTGGCAGTTCACGCTATAACGAGCAAAGAGAAGGACGGCGCAATGTATCAATGTGATTTATTATCTGTTCTGTTTACAGGTAATGATGTAGGTTTTTTTTTCATTATTCAGAGACTGGAAATCTGCACACTTTTATTTAGAAATTTTAAGGATGTTTTACACTGCTTCTGTGTTTGACTTCCTGTCTCTTCCGAACTGGAAGCGCAGCACCTTACTCTGAGTGAATTTAGCGAAGCTGAACGTCACACTTCTGGGATGCATCCAAAACACGACGTGACGCTTCGCAGGCGGGGGAAACGGACCCATTAACTCTAACGGTGGCTAATTGCTGCGCACTACCTTTCGAGAACGTTAAGCAACATTAACACATCCGTGGAAAGGCCCGGTTACGACATATCACGGTCAGCAAGATTCAACCTAACATTTTAATTTTAATTTAATTTTATTTTATTTTTGCTCATCAGGCACAAATACGATCCCAGGTGATTACATGCCATCATTTTACAAGAAAGACAACGGCTCAGTTGGTCACAGCAGAGGCCGTCAGGGTGTTTCAATGGAAACAAGTGACCTCTAATATCTGTTTTTGCTTCCGACAGCCAACAAGAGCAGCTCCAGTCTGCTGCCTCTCACGCCGCAACAGACCATTCATGGACGAACAGACTGGTCAGCCAAATACGGACACCGCTAGCGGCCATTTGTATTCTTACAAACTCTCTCACTTCCAAAGAGTAGTTGTTTTTAAATTCTGAGCAGACCTCAGCTGGGCCTCGTGCATCTGCAGACGCCCTTACAGACGCAGCAGCAGCAGCCTCTGCTGTTGAAGCCAGTGCCCCCCTCCCAGCCTCCGCCTTCTAACCAGCACTGCTCTCCCTCCAGGCCGCTCCATCAGATCCAGACCTCCCCTGCACCAGCAGCTGCCCAGGCGGCAGCTTACCAGCAGCACACGGAGATGGTTCGGGAGCAGCAGCAGCCGAAGCACATCCTGAAACAGGAGCAGACGGAGGGAACCTCTCAGCGCCGTCTCCCTTACATCGTAGACAAGAGCCACCAGGAAAAGGTGTGGAAACCTTTCACGTTTTTATGGAAGGAAGCCTTTTGGGATATTCTGAGCTTGTCTAACACCCGTGGTTGATGTTTGTTTTGTAGCAAACGCAGCAGGATGTACACAATTTAAGCCTGCTTGGCTATCAGCTGAAGCCTAAAGGAGGGCGGCGGCGTTGGGGACATGCAGCTGGACACGTTAAAGGAGAAGACTGGGACAACTACGAGGAGACTGATCCGTCCTCCATCAGTATCCTTGGAAAACCTAACTTCTCATCAGAGAAGTCGAGACAAGGAGACGACTCTCTGAGCAGGTGACTCTACTGATCACTCGGGTTATGTACGAAGTGTTTAAAAAACATAAATCTACGACTGGTTTGCTTCTCTGCTAGCCTAGTGAACTAGACCAAATTCTTGCTTTGCAAAGTTTGGTCTAGGCATGCTCCATTTGGAACCTCAGCAGCTCGTACCAGGACTCTGGCTAGCCAATCACAGCTCTCTAGAGGGGTTTCAAACACATAAAGAGCTGTGATTGGTCCATAACTGTGGGCCAATCATAGTGCTCTATCTGCTTAGTGAACAAATCACAGTGCTTTATCCGCTTTGTGGGCCAATCAGGGCACTCTATATGCCTGGTGGGTGGGATGATGCAACAGAGTGAAACAAGAGTATGTCACATTCATTGTCCAGTGGAATGCGGAGATCATTTGAAAGACAACAGTAGAACCCGCCCCACAACCGAGAGCCGTCAATGGAGCATGGCCAGACTAAAAAATACATTTATTTAGTCTGGCTTGCCAGGCTACTTCTCTGCAGGTTTGGAACTGTTCTGGATTTCAGTCGACGCAGCGGAAAAGAAGATGAACCTTTAAACCTGAACAAGACCGCAGCCTATCAAGAGCCATCAAGAACGGCCTCTGCCAAGCAGCATTACCTGAGGCAGTCCAGATATCTACCTGGTATTATACGTTTCTTTTTTATTTGTGACTTTAATAAATATTGGTCAGTAATCTCTTCTTGTCTCCTTCAGGCATCAGTACTAAGAAGAACGTAGCCATGAATGCCAGTAAAGAATTCCCAGGAAGCCATTTTTGTGGCAGCAGCAGTATTGCGTTTGGAGGGACCCTGCCAAGCAGAGGAGCTCATGGTAACGTCGTTGTAACCATTACCTTGCTTTTCCACCGGGTGCGTAATGTGGCGCATAGTGTAAGCAGAGCGTGATGATGTCTTCCCCACAAACTCAGCAGCACGCACCTTCCCACCGGGAGCATTTCAGGTATGAAACTGCAGCGAATGCTTTCCACGCTGTTGGTCCTGCAAGGTCACAAAATCACCAGAGAATTGCAAGACCGTTCAGGATTTTGGCAGTTCACGCTATAACGAGCAAAGAGAAGGACGGCGCAATGTATCAATGTGATTTATTATCTGTTCTGTTTACAGGTAATGATGTAGTTTTTTTTTTTCATTATTCAGAGACTGGAAATCTGCACACTTTTATTTAGAAATTTTAAGGATGTTTTACACTGCTTCTGTGTTTGACTTCCTGTCTCTTCCGAACTGAAAGCGCAGCACCTTACTCTGAGTGAATTTAGCGAAGCTGAACGTCACACTTCTGGGATGCATCCAAAACACGACGTGACGCTTCGCAGGCGGGGGAAACGGACCCATTAACTCTAACGGTGGCTAATTGCTGCGCACTACCTTTCGAGAACGTTAAGCAACATTAACACATCCGTGGAAAGGCCCGGTTACGACATATCACGGTCAGCAAGATTCAACCCAACATTTTAATTTAATTTAATTTTATTTTTGCTCATCAGGCACAAATACGATCCCAGGTGATTACATGCCATCATTTTACAAGAAAGACAACGGCTCAGTTGGTCACAGCAGAGGCCGTCAGGGTGTTTCCATGGAAACAAGTGAGCTCTAATATCTGTTTTTGCTTCTGTCTGATGACCCTTCACAAACTGTTTCCCTACACTTATTTATTTATTTTTTAGATTATGCAACTTGGCGGTCTGGCCGGAGCCACATGAACCCATCGGCCAGCGTGTCGACAGCCAACAAGAGCAGCTCCAGTCTGCTGCCTCTCACGCCGCAACAGACCATTCATGGACGAACAGACTGGTCAGCCAAATACGGACACCGCTAGCGGCCATTTGTATTCTTACAAACTCTCTCACTTCCAAAGAGTAGTTGTTTTTAAATTCTGAGCAGACCTCAGCTGGGCCTCGTGCATCTGCAGACGCCCTTACAGACGCAGCAGCAGCAGCCTCTGCTGTTGAAGCCAGTGCCCCCCTCCCAGCCTCCGCCTTCTAACCAGCACTGCTCTCCCTCCAGGCCGCTCCATCAGATCCAGACCTCCCCTGCACCAGCAGCTGCCCAGGCGGCAGCTTACCAGCAGCACACGGAGATGGTTCGGGAGCAGCAGCAGCCGAAGCACATCCTGAAACAGGAGCAGACGGAGGGAACCTCTCAGCGCCGTCTCCCTTACATCGTAGACAAGAGCCACCAGGAAAAGGTGTGGAAACCTTTCACGTTTTTATGGAAGGAAGCCTTTTGGGATATTCTGAGCTTGTCTAACACCCGTGGTTGATGTTTGTTTTGTAGCAAACGCAGCAGGATGTACACAATTTAAGCCTGCTTGGCTATCAGCTGAAGCCTAAAGGAGGGCGGCGGCGTTGGGGACATGCAGCTGGACACGTTAAAGGAGAAGACTGGGACAACTACGAGGAGACTGATCCGTCCTCCATCAGTATCCTTGGAAAACCTAACTTCTCATCAGAGAAGTCGAGACAAGGAGACGACTCTCTGAGCAGGTGACTCTACTGATCACTCGGGTTATGTACGAAGTGTTTAAAAAACATAAATCTACGACTGGTTTGCTTCTCTGCTAGCCTAGTGAACTAGACCAAATTCTTGCTTTGCAAAGTTTGGTCTAGGCATGCTCCATTTGGAACCTCAGCAGCTCGTACCAGGACTCTGGCTAGCCAATCACAGCTCTCTAGAGGGGTTTCAAACACATAAAGAGCTGTGATTGGTCCATAACTGTGGGCCAATCATAGTGCTCTATCTGCTTAGTGAACAAATCACAGTGCTTTATCCGCTTTGTGGGCCAATCAGGGCACTCTATATGCCTGGTGGGTGGGATGATGCAACAGAGTGAAACAAGAGTATGTCACATTCATTGTCCAGTGGAATGCGGAGATCATTTGAAAGACAACAGTAGAACCCGCCCCACAACCGAGAGCCGTCAATGGAGCATGGCCAGACTAAAAAATACATTTATTTAGTCTGGCTTGCCAGGCTACTTCTCTGCAGGTTTGGAACTGTTCTAGATTTCAGTCGACGCAGCGGAAAAGAAGATGAACCTTTAAACCTGAACAAGACCGCAGCCTATCAAGAGCCATCAAGAACGGCCTCTGCCAAGCAGCATTACCTGAGGCAGTCCAGATATCTACCTGGTATTATACGTTTCTTTTTTATTTGTGACTTTAATAAATATTGGTCAGTAATCTCTTCTTGTCTCCTTCAGGCATCAGTATTAAGAAGAACGTAGCCATGAATGCCAGTAAAGAATTCCCAGGAAGCCATTTTTGTGGCAGCAGCAGTATTGCGTTTGGAGGGACCCTGCCAAGCAGAGGAGCTCATGGTAACGTCGTTGTAACCATTACCTTGCTTTTCCACCGGGTGCGTAATGTGGCGCATAGTGTAAGCAGAGCGTGATGATGTCTTCCCCACAAACTCAGCAGCACGCACCTTCCCACCGGGAGCATTTCAGGTATGAAACTGCAGCGAATGCTTTCCACGCTGTTGGTCCTGCAAGGTCACAAAATCACCAGAGAATTGCAAGACCGTTCAGGATTTTGGCAGTTCACGCTATAACGAGCAAAGAGAAGGACGGCGCAATGTATCAATGTGATTTATTATCTGTTCTGTTTACATGTAATGATGTAGTTTTTTTTTTTTCATTATTCAGAGACTGGAAATCTGCACACTTTTATTTAGAAATTTTAAGGATGTTTTACACTGCTTCTGTGTTTGACTTCCTGTCTCTTCCGAACTGAAAGCGCAGCACCTTACTCTGAGTGAATTTAGCGAAGCTGAACGTCACACTTCTGGGATGCATCCAAAACACGACGTGACGCTTCGCAGGCGGGGGAAACGGACCCATTAACTCTAACGGTGGCTAATTGCTGCGCACTACCTTTCGAGAACGTTAAGCAACATTAACACATCCGTGGAAAGGCCCGGTTACGACATATCACGGTCAGCAAGATTCAACCTAACATTTTAATTTTAATTTAATTTTATTTTATTTTTGCTCATCAGGCACAAATACGATCCCAGGTGATTACATGCCATCATTTTACAAGAAAGACAACGGCTCAGTTGGTCACAGCAGAGGCCGTCAGGGTGTTTCAATGGAAACAAGTGACCTCTAATATCTGTTTTTGCTTCTGTCTGATGACCCTTCACAAACTGTTTCCCTACACTTATTTATTTATTTTTTAGATTATGCAACTTGGCGGTCTGGCCGGAGCCACATGAACCCATCGGCCAGCGTGTCGACAGCCAACAAGAGCAGCTCCAGTCTGCTGCCTCTCACGCCGCAACAGACCATTCATGGACGAACAGACTGGTCAGCCAAATACGGACACCGCTAGCGGCCATTTGTATTCTTACAAACTCTCTCACTTCCAAAGAGTAGTTGTTTTTAAATTCTGAGCAGACCTCAGCTGGGCCTCGTGCATCTGCAGACGCCCTTACAGACGCAGCAGCAGCAGCCTCTGCTGTTGAAGCCAGTGCCCCCCTCCCAGCCTCCGCCTTCTAACTAGCACTGCTCTCCCTCCAGGCCGCTCCATCAGATCCAGACCTCCACTGCACCAGCAGCTGCCCAGGCGGCAGCTTACCAGCAGCACACGGAGATGGTTCGGGAGCAGCAGCAGCCGAAGCACATCCTGAAACAGGAGCAGACGGAGGGAACCTCTCAGCGCCGTCTCCCTTACATCGTAGACAAGAGCCACCAGGAAAAGGTGTGGAAACCTTTCACGTTTTTATGGAAGGAAGCCTTTTGGGATATTCTGAGCTTGTCTAACACCCGTGGTTGATGTTTGTTTTGTAGCAAACGCAGCAGGATGTACACAATTTAAGCCTGCTTGGCTATCAGCTGAAGCCTAAAGGAGGGCGGCGGCGTTGGGGACATGCAGCTGGACACGTTAAAGGAGAAGACTGGGACAACTACGAGGAGACTGATCCGTCCTCCATCAGTATCCTTGGAAAACCTAACTTCTCATCAGAGAAGTCGAGACAAGGAGACGACTCTCTGAGCAGGTGACTCTACTGATCACTCGGGTTATGTACGAAGTGTTTAAAAAACATAAATCTACGACTGGTTTGCTTCTCTGCTAGCCTAGTGAACTAGACCAAATTCTTGCTTTGCAAAGTTTGGTCTAGGCATGCTCCATTTCGAACCTCAGCAGCTCGTACCAGGACTCTGGCTAGCCAATCACAGCTCTCTAGAGGGGTTTCAAACACATAAAGAGCTGTGAATGGTCCATAACTGTGGGCCAATCATAGTGCTCTATCTGCTTAGTGAACAAATCACAGTGCTTTATCCGCTTTGTGGGCCAATCAGGGCACTCTATATGCCTGGTGGGTGGGATGATGCAACAGAGTGAAACAAGAGTATGTCACATTCATTGTCCAGTGGAATGCGGAGATCATTTGAAAGACAACAGTAGAACCCGCCCCACAACCGAGAGCCGTCAATGGAGCATGGCCAGACTAAAAAATACATTTATTTAGTCTGGCTTGCCAGGCTACTTCTCTGCAGGTTTGGAACTGTTCTGGATTTCAGTCGACGCAGCGGAAAAGAAGATGCACCTTTAAACCTGAACAAGACCGCAGCCTATCAAGAGCCATCAAGAACGGCCTCTGCCAAGCAGCATTACCTGAGGCAGTCCAGATATCTACCTGGTATTATACGTTTCTTTTTTATTTGTGACTTTAATAAATATTGGTCAGTAATCTCTTCTTGTCTCCTTCAGGCATCAGTACTAAGAAGAACGTAGCCATGAATGCCAGTAAAGAATTCCCAGGAAGCCATTTTTGTGGCAGCAGCAGTATTGCGTTTGGAGGGACCCTGCCAAGCAGAGGAGCTCATGGTAACGTCGTTGTAACCATTACCTTGCTTTTCCACCGGGTGCGTAATGTGGCGCATAGTGTAAGCAGAGCGTGATGATGTCTTCCCCACAAACTCAGCAGCACGCACCTTCCCACCAGGAGCATTTCAGGTATGAAACTGCAGCGAATGCTTTCCACGCTGTTGGTCCTGCAAGGTCACAAAATCACCAGAGAATTGCAAGACCGTTCAGGATTTTGGCAGTTCACGCTATAACGAGCAAAGAGAAGGACGGCGCAATGTATCAATGTGATTTATTATCTGTTCTGTTTACAGGTAATGATGTAGTTTTTTTTTTCATTATTCAGAGACTGGAAATCTGCACACTTTTATTTAGAAATTTTAAGGATGTTTTACACTGCTTCTGTGTTTGACTTCCTGTCTCTTCCGAACTGAAAGCGCAGCACCTTACTCTGAGTGAATTTAGCGAAGCTGAACGTCACACTTCTGGGATGCATCCAAAACACGACGTGACGCTTCGCAGGCGGGGGAAACGGACCCATTAACTCTAACGGTGGCTAATTGCTGCGCACTACCTTTCGAGAACGTTAAGCAACATTAACACATCCGTGGAAAGGCCCGGTTACGACATATCACGGTCAGCAAGATTCAACCCAACATTTTAATTTAATTTTATTTTATTTTTGCTCATCAGGCACAAATACGATCCCAGGTGATTACATGCCATCATTTTACAAGAAAGACAACGGCTCAGTTGGTCACAGCAGAGGCCGTCAGGGTGTTTCCATGGAAACAAGTGAGCTCTAATATCTGTTTTTGCTTCTGTCTGATGACCCTTCACAAACTGTTTCCCTACACTTATTTATTTATTTTTTAGATTATGCAACTTGGCGGTCTGGCCGGAGCCACATGAACCCATCGGCCAGCGTGTCGACAGCCAACAAGAGCAGCTCCAGTCTGCTGCCTCTCACGCCGCAACAGACCATTCATGGACGAACAGACTGGTCAGCCAAATACGGACACCGCTAGCGGCCATTTTTGTATTCTTACAAACTCTCTCACTTCCAAAGAGTAGTTGTTTTTAAATTCTGAGCAGACCTCAGCTGGGCCTCGTGCATCTGCAGACGCCCTTACAGACGCAGCAGCAGCAGCCTCTGCTGTTGAAGCCAGTGCCCCCCTCCCAGCCTCCGCCTTCTAACCAGCACTGCTCTCCCTCCAGGCCGCTCCATCAGATCCAGACCTCCCCTGCACCAGCAGCTGCCCAGGCGGCAGCTTACCAGCAGCACACGGAGATGGTTCGGGAGCAGCAGCAGCCGAAGCACATCCTGAAACAGGAGCAGACGGAGGGAACCTCTCAGCGCCGTCTCCCTTACATCGTAGACAAGAGCCACCAGGAAAAGGTGTGGAAACCTTTCACGTTTTTATGGAAGGAAGCCTTTTGGGATATTCTGAGCTTGTCTAACACCCGTGGTTGATGTTTGTTTTGTAGCAAACACAGCAGGATGTACACAATTTAAGCCTGCTTGGCTATCAGCTGAAGCCTAAAGGAGGGCGGCGGCGTTGGGGACATGCAGCTGGACACGTTAAAGGAGAAGACTGGGACAACTACGAGTTGACTGATCCGTCCTCCATCAGTATCCTTGGAAAACCTAACTTCTCATCAGAGAAGTCGAGACAAGGAGACGACTCTCTGAGCAGGTGACTCTACTGATCACTCGGGTTATGTACGAAGTGTTTAAAAAACATAAATCTACGACTGGTTTGCTTCTCTGCTAGCCTAGTGAACTAGACCAAATTCTTGCTTTGCAAAGTTTGGTCTAGGCATGCTCCATTTGGAACCTCAGCAGCTCGTACCAGGACTCTGGCTAGCCAATCACAGCTCTCTAGAGGGGTTTCAAACACATAAAGAGCTGTGATTGGTCCATAACTGTGGGCCAATCATAGTGCTCTATCTGCTTAGTGAACAAATCACAGTGCTTTATCCGCTTTGTGGGCCAATCAGGGCACTCTATATGCCTGGTGGGTGGGATGATGCAACAGAGTGAAACAAGAGTATGTCACATTCATTGTCCAGTGGAATGCGGAGATCATTTGAAAGACAACAGTAGAACCCGCCCCACAACCGAGAGCCGTCAATGGAGCATGGCCAGACTAAAAAATACATTTATTTAGTCTGGCTTGCCAGGCTACTTCTCTGCAGGTTTGGAACTGTTCTGGATTTCAGTCGACGCAGCGGAAAAGAAGATGCACCTTTAAATCTGAACAAGACCGCAGCCTATCAAGAGCCATCAAGAACGGCCTCTGCCAAGCAGCATTACCTGAGGCAGTCCAGATATCTACCTGGTATTATACGTTTCTTTTTTATTTGTGACTTTAATAAATATTGGTCAGTAATCTCTTCTTGTCTCCTTCAGGCATCAGTACTAAGAAGAACGTAGCCATGAATGCCAGTAAAGAATTCCCAGGAAGCCATTTTTGTGGCAGCAGCAGTATTGCGTTTGGAGGGACCCTGCCAAGCAGAGGAGCTCATGGTAACGTCGTTGTAACCATTACCTTGCTTTTCCACCGGGTGCGTAATGTGGCGCATAGTGTAAGCAGAGCGTGATGATGTCTTCCCCACAAACTCAGCAGCACGCACCTTCCCACCGGGAGCATTTCAGGTATGAAACTGCAGCGAATGCTTTCCACGCTGTTGGTCCTGCAAGGTCACAAAATCACCAGAGAATTGCAAGACCGTTCAGGATTTTGGCAGTTCACGCTATAACGAGCAAAGAGAAGGACGGCGCAATGTATCAATGTGATTTATTATCTGTTCTGTTTACAGGTAATGATGTAGTTTTTTTTTTTCATAATTCAGAGACTGGAAATCTGCACACTTTTATTTAGAAATTTTAAGGATGTTTTACACTGCTTCTGTGTTTGACTTCCTGTCTCTTCCGAACTGAAAGCGCAGCACCTTACTCTGAGTGAATTTAGCGAAGCTGAACGTCACACTTCTGGGATGCATCCAAAACACGACGTGACGCTTCGCAGGCGGGGGAAACGGACCCATTAACTCTAACGGTGGCTAATTGCTGCGCACTACCTTTCGAGAACGTTAAGCAACATTAACACATCCGTGGAAAGGCCCGGTTACGACATATCACGGTCAGCAAGATTCAACCTAACATTTTAATTTTAATTTAATTTTATTTTATTTTTGCTCATCAGGCACAAATACGATCCCAGGTGATTACATGCCATCATTTTACAAGAAAGACAACGGCTCAGTTGGTCACAGCAGAGGCCGTCAGGGTGTTTCCATGGAAACAAGTGAGCTCTAATATCTGTTTTTGCTTCTGTCTGATGACCCTTCACAAACTGTTTCCCTACACTTATTTATTTATTTTTTAGATTATGCAACTTGGCGGTCTGGCCGGAGCCACATGAACCCATCGGCCAGCGTGTCGACAGCCAACAAGAGCAGCTCCAGTCTGCTGCCTCTCACGCCGCAACAGACCATTCATGGACGAACAGACTGGTCAGCCAAATACGGACACCGCTAGCGGCCATTTTTGTATTCTTACAAACTCTCTCACTTCCAAAGAGTAGTTGTTTTTAAATTCTGAGCAGACCTCAGCTGGGCCTCGTGCATCTGCAGACGCCCTTACAGACGCAGCAGCAGCAGCCTCTGCTGTTGAAGCCAGTGCCCCCCTCCCAGCCTCCGCCTTCTAACCAGCACTGCTCTCCCTCCAGGCCGCTCCATCAGATCCAGACCTCCCCTGCACCAGCAGCTGCCCAGGCGGCAGCTTACCAGCAGCACACGGAGATGGTTCGGGAGCAGCAGCAGCCGAAGCACATCCTGAAACAGGAGCAGACGGAGGGAACCTCTCAGCGCCGTCTCCCTTACATCGTAGACAAGAGCCACCAGGAAAAGGTGTGGAAACCTTTCACGTTTTTATGGAAGGAAGCCTTTTGGGATATTCTGAGCTTGTCTAACACCCGTGGTTGATGTTTGTTTTGTAGCAAACACAGCAGGATGTACACAATTTAAGCCTGCTTGGCTATCAGCTGAAGCCTAAAGGAGGGCGGCGGCGTTGGGGACATGCAGCTGGACACGTTAAAGGAGAAGACTGGGACAACTACGAGTTGACTGATCCGTCCTCCATCAGTATCCTTGGAAAACCTAACTTCTCATCAGAGAAGTCGAGACAAGGAGACGACTCTCTGAGCAGGTGACTCTACTGATCACTCGGGTTATGTACGAAGTGTTTAAAAAACATAAATCTACGACTGGTTTGCTTCTCTGCTAGCCTAGTGAACTAGACCAAATTCTTGCTTTGCAAAGTTTGGTCTAGGCATGCTCCATTTGGAACCTCAGCAGCTCGTACCAGGACTCTGGCTAGCCAATCACAGCTCTCTAGAGGGGTTTCAAACACATAAAGAGCTGTGATTGGTCCATAACTGTGGGCCAATCATAGTGCTCTATCTGCTTAGTGAACAAATCACAGTGCTTTATCCGCTTTGTGGGCCAATCAGGGCACTCTATATGCCTGGTGGGTGGGATGATGCAACAGAGTGAAACAAGAGTATGTCACATTCATTGTCCAGTGGAATGCGGAGATCATTTGAAAGACAACAGTAGAACCCGCCCCACAACCGAGAGCCGTCAATGGAGCATGGCCAGACTAAAAAATACATTTATTTAGTCTGGCTTGCCAGGCTACTTCTCTGCAGGTTTGGAACTGTTCTGGATTTCAGTCGACGCAGCGGAAAAGAAGATGCACCTTTAAATCTGAACAAGACCGCAGCCTATCAAGAGCCATCAAGAACGGCCTCTGCCAAGCAGCATTACCTGAGGCAGTCCAGATATCTACCTGGTATTATACGTTTCTTTTTTATTTGTGACTTTAATAAATATTGGTCAGTAATCTCTTCTTGTCTCCTTCAGGCATCAGTACTAAGAAGAACGTAGCCATGAATGCCAGTAAAGAATTCCCAGGAAGCCATTTTTGTGGCAGCAGCAGTATTGCGTTTGGAGGGACCCTGCCAAGCAGAGGAGCTCATGGTAACGTCGTTGTAACCATTACCTTGCTTTTCCACCGGGTGCGTAATGTGGCGCATAGTGTAAGCAGAGCGTGATGATGTCTTCCCCACAAACTCAGCAGCACGCACCTTCCCACCGGGAGCATTTCAGGTATGAAACTGCAGCGAATGCTTTCCACGCTGTTGGTCCTGCAAGGTCACAAAATCACCAGAGAATTGCAAGACCGTTCAGGATTTTGGCAGTTCACGCTATAACGAGCAAAGAGAAGGACGGCGCAATGTATCAATGTGATTTATTATCTGTTCTGTTTACAGGTAATGATGTAGTTTTTTTTTTTCATAATTCAGAGACTGGAAATCTGCACACTTTTATTTAGAAATTTTAAGGATGTTTTACACTGCTTCTGTGTTTGACTTCCTGTCTCTTCCGAACTGAAAGCGCAGCACCTTACTCTGAGTGAATTTAGCGAAGCTGAACGTCACACTTCTGGGATGCATCCAAAACACGACGTGACGCTTCGCAGGCGGGGGAAACGGACCCATTAACTCTAACGGTGGCTAATTGCTGCGCACTACCTTTCGAGAACGTTAAGCAACATTAACACATCCGTGGAAAGGCCCGGTTACGACATATCACGGTCAGCAAGATTCAACCCAACATTTTAATTTAATTTTATTTTATTTTTGCTCATCAGGCACAAATACGATCCCAGGTGATTACATGCCATCATTTTACAAGAAAGACAACGGCTCAGTTGGTCACAGCAGAGGCCGTCAGGGTGTTTCCATGGAAACAAGTGAGCTCTAATATCTGTTTTTGCTTCTGTCTGATGACCCTTCACAAACTGTTTCCCTACACTTATTTATTTATTTTTTAGATTATGCAACTTGGCGGTCTGGCCGGAGCCACATGAACCCATCGGCCAGCGTGTCGACAGCCAACAAGAGCAGCTCCAGTCTGCTGCCTCTCACGCCGCAACAGACCATTCATGGACGAACAGACTGGTCAGCCAAATACGGACACCGCTAGCGGCCATTTTTGTATTCTTACAAACTCTCTCACTTCCAAAGAGTAGTTGTTTTTAAATTCTGAGCAGACCTCAGCTGGGCCTCGTGCATCTGCAGACGCCCTTACAGACGCAGCAGCAGCAGCCTCTGCTGTTGAAGCCAGTGCCCCCCTCCCAGCCTCCGCCTTCTAACCAGCACTGCTCTCCCTCCAGGCCGCTCCATCAGATCCAGACCTCCCCTGCACCAGCAGCTGCCCAGGCGGCAGCTTACCAGCAGCACACGGAGATGGTTCGGGAGCAGCAGCAGCCGAAGCACATCCTGAAACAGGAGCAGACGGAGGGAACCTCTCAGCGCCGTCTCCCTTACATCGTAGACAAGAGCCACCAGGAAAAGGTGTGGAAACCTTTCACGTTTTTATGGAAGGAAGCCTTTTGGGATATTCTGAGCTTGTCTAACACCCGTGGTTGATGTTTGTTTTGTAGCAAACACAGCAGGATGTACACAATTTAAGCCTGCTTGGCTATCAGCTGAAGCCTAAAGGAGGGCGGCGGCGTTGGGGACATGCAGCTGGACACGTTAAAGGAGAAGACTGGGACAACTACGAGTTGACTGATCCGTCCTCCATCAGTATCCTTGGAAAACCTAACTTCTCATCAGAGAAGTCGAGACAAGGAGACGACTCTCTGAGCAGGTGACTCTACTGATCACTCGGGTTATGTACGAAGTGTTTAAAAAACATAAATCTACGACTGGTTTGCTTCTCTGCTAGCCTAGTGAACTAGACCAAATTCTTGCTTTGCAAAGTTTGGTCTAGGCATGCTCCATTTGGAACCTCAGCAGCTCGTACCAGGACTCTGGCTAGCCAATCACAGCTCTCTAGAGGGGTTTCAAACACATAAAGAGCTGTGATTGGTCCATAACTGTGGGCCAATCATAGTGCTCTATCTGCTTAGTGAACAAATCACAGTGCTTTATCCGCTTTGTGGGCCAATCAGGGCACTCTATATGCCTGGTGGGTGGGATGATGCAACAGAGTGAAACAAGAGTATGTCACATTCATTGTCCAGTGGAATGCGGAGATCATTTGAAAGACAACAGTAGAACCCGCCCCACAACCGAGAGCCGTCAATGGAGCATGGCCAGACTAAAAAATACATTTATTTAGTCTGGCTTGCCAGGCTACTTCTCTGCAGGTTTGGAACTGTTCTGGATTTCAGTCGACGCAGCGGAAAAGAAGATGCACCTTTAAATCTGAACAAGACCGCAGCCTATCAAGAGCCATCAAGAACGGCCTCTGCCAAGCAGCATTACCTGAGGCAGTCCAGATATCTACCTGGTATTATACGTTTCTTTTTTATTTGTGACTTTAATAAATATTGGTCAGTAATCTCTTCTTGTCTCCTTCAGGCATCAGTACTAAGAAGAACGTAGCCATGAATGCCAGTAAAGAATTCCCAGGAAGCCATTTTTGTGGCAGCAGCAGTATTGCGTTTGGAGGGACCCTGCCAAGCAGAGGAGCTCATGGTAACGTCGTTGTAACCATTACCTTGCTTTTCCACCGGGTGCGTAATGTGGCGCATAGTGTAAGCAGAGCGTGATGATGTCTTCCCCACAAACTCAGCAGCACGCACCTTCCCACCGGGAGCATTTCAGGTATGAAACTGCAGCGAATGCTTTCCACGCTGTTGGTCCTGCAAGGTCACAAAATCACCAGAGAATTGCAAGACCGTTCAGGATTTTGGCAGTTCACGCTATAACGAGCAAAGAGAAGGACGGCGCAATGTATCAATGTGATTTATTATCTGTTCTGTTTACAGGTAATGATGTAGTTTTTTTTTTTCATAATTCAGAGACTGGAAATCTGCACACTTTTATTTAGAAATTTTAAGGATGTTTTACACTGCTTCTGTGTTTGACTTCCTGTCTCTTCCGAACTGAAAGCGCAGCACCTTACTCTGAGTGAATTTAGCGAAGCTGAACGTCACACTTCTGGGATGCATCCAAAACACGACGTGACGCTTCGCAGGCGGGGGAAACGGACCCATTAACTCTAACGGTGGCTAATTGCTGCGCACTACCTTTCGAGAACGTTAAGCAACATTAACACATCCGTGGAAAGGCCCGGTTACGACATATCACGGTCAGCAAGATTCAACCTAACATTTTAATTTTAATTTAATTTTATTTTATTTTTGCTCATCAGGCACAAATACGATCCCAGGTGATTACATGCCATCATTTTACAAGAAAGACAACGGCTCAGTTGGTCACAGCAGAGGCCGTCAGGGTGTTTCCATGGAAACAAGTGAGCTCTAATATCTGTTTTTGCTTCTGTCTGATGACCCTTCACAAACTGTTTCCCTACACTTATTTATTTATTTTTTAGATTATGCAACTTGGCGGTCTGGCCGGAGCCACATGAACCCATCGGCCAGCGTGTCGACAGCCAACAAGAGCAGCTCCAGTCTGCTGCCTCTCACGCCGCAACAGACCATTCATGGACGAACAGACTGGTCAGCCAAATACGGACACCGCTAGCGGCCATTTGTATTCTTACAAACTCTCTCACTTCCAAAGAGTAGTTGTTTTTAAATTCTGAGCAGACCTCAGCTGGGCCTCGTGCATCTGCAGACGCCCTTACAGACGCAGCAGCAGCAGCCTCTGCTGTTGAAGCCAGTGCCCCCCTCCCAGCCTCCGCCTTCTAACCAGCACTGCTCTCCCTCCAGGCCGCTCCATCAGATCCAGACCTCCCCTGCACCAGCAGCTGCCCAGGCGGCAGCTTACCAGCAGCACACGGAGATGGTTCGGGAGCAGCAGCAGCCGAAGCACATCCTGAAACAGGAGCAGACGGAGGGAACCTCTCAGCGCCGTCTCCCTTACATCGTAGACAAGAGCCACCAGGAAAAGGTGTGGAAACCTTTCACGTTTTTATGGAAGGAAGCCTTTTGGGATATTCTGAGCTTGTCTAACACCCGTGGTTGATGTTTGTTTTGTAGCAAACGCAGCAGGATGTACACAATTTAAGCCTGCTTGGCTATCAGCTGAAGCCTAAAGGAGGGCGGCGGCGTTGAGGACATGCAGCTGGACACGTTAAAGGAGAAGACTGGGACAACTACGAGTTGACTGATCCGTCCTCCATCAGTATCCTTGGAAAACCTAACTTCTCATCAGAGAAGTCGAGACAAGGAGACGACTCTCTGAGCAGGTGACTCTACTGATCACTCGGGTTATGTACGAAGTGTTTAAAAAACATAAATCTACGACTGGTTTGCTTCTCTGCTAGCCTAGTGAACTAGACCAAATTCTTGCTTTGCAAAGTTTGGTCTAGGCATGCTCCATTTGGAACCTCAGCAGCTCGTACCAGGACTCTGGCTAGCCAATCACAGCTCTCTAGAGGGGTTTCAAACACATAAAGAGCTGTGATTGGTCCATAACTGTGGGCCAATCATAGTGCTCTATCTGCTTAGTGAACAAATCACAGTGCTTTATCCGCTTTGTGGGCCAATCAGGGCACTCTATATGCCTGGTGGGTGGGATGATGCAACAGAGTGAAACAAGAGTATGTCACATTCATTGTCCAGTGGAATGCGGAGATCATTTGAAAGACAACAGTAGAACCCGCCCCACAACCGAGAGCCGTCAATGGAGCATGGCCAGACTAAAAAATACATTTATTTAGTCTGGCTTGCCAGGCTACTTCTCTGCAGGTTTGGAACTGTTCTGGATTTCAGTCGACGCAGCGGAAAAGAAGATGCACCTTTAAACCTGAACAAGACCGCAGCCTATCAAGAGCCATCAAGAACGGCCTCTGCCAAGCAGCATTACCTGAGGCAGTCCAGATATCTTCCTGGTATTATACGTTTCTTTTTTATTTGTGACTTTAATAAATATTGGTCAGTAATCTCTTCTTGTCTCCTTCAGACATCAGTACTAAGAAGAACATAGCCATGAATGCCAGTAAAGAATTCCCAGGAAGCCATTTTTGTGGCAGCAGCAGTATTGCGTTTGGAGGGACCCTGCCAAGCAGAGGAGCTCATGGTAACATCGTTGTAACCATTACCTTGCTTTTCCACCGGGTGCGTAATGTGGCGCATAGTGTAAGCAGAGCGTGATGATGTCTTCCCCACAAACTCAGCAGCACGCACCTTCCCACCAGGAGCATTTCAGGTATGAAACTGCAGCGAATGCTTTCCACGCTGTTGGTCCTGCAAGGTCACAAAATCACCAGAGAATTGCAAGACCGTTCAGGATTTTGGCAGTTCACGCTATAACGAGCAAAGAGAAGGACGGCGCAATGTATCAATGTGATTTATTATCTGTTCTGTTTACAGGTAATGATGTAGTTTTTTTTTTCATTATTCAGAGACTGGAAATCTGCACACTTTTATTTAGAAATTTTAAGGATGTTTTACACTGCTTCTGTGTTTGACTTCCTGTCTCTTCCGAACTGAAAGCGCAGCACCTTACTCTGAGTGAATTTAGCGAAGCTGAACGTCACACTTCTGGGATGCATCCAAAACACGACGTGACGCTTCGCAGGCGGGGGAAACGGACCCATTAACTCTAACGGTGGCTAATTGCTGCGCACTACCTTTCGAGAACGTTAAGCAACATTAACACATCCGTGGAAAGGCCCCGTTACGACATATCACGGTCAGCAAGATTCAACCTAACATTTTAATTTTAATTTTATTTTATTTTATTTTTGCTCATCAGGCACAAATACGATCCCAGGTGATTACATGCCATCATTTTACAAGAAAGACAACGGCTCAGTTGGTCACAGCAGAGGCCGTCAGGGTGTTTCAATGGAAACAAGTGACCTCTAATATCTGTTTTTGCTTCTGTCTGATGACCCTTCACAAACTGTTTCCCTACACTTATTTATTTATTTTTTAGATTATGCAACTTGGCGGTCTGGCCGGAGCCACATGAACCCATCGGCCAGCGTGTCGACAGCCAACAAGAGCAGCTCCAGTCTGCTGCCTCTCACGCCGCAACAGACCATTCATGGACGAACAGACTGGTCAGCCAAATACGGACACCGCTAGCGGCCATTTGTATTCTTACAAACTCTCTCACTTCCAAAGAGTAGTTGTTTTTAAATTCTGAGCAGACCTCAGCTGGGCCTCGTGCATCTGCAGACGCCCTTACAGACGCAGCAGCAGCAGCCTCTGCTGTTGAAGCCAGTGCCCCCCTCCCAGCCTCCGCCTTCTAACCAGCACTGCTCTCCCTCCAGGCCGCTCCATCAGATCCAGACCTCCCCTGCACCAGCAGCTGCCCAGGCGGCAGCTTACCAGCAGCACACGGAGATGGTTCGGGAGCAGCAGCAGCCGAAGCACATCCTGAAACAGGAGCAGATGGAGGGAACCTCTCAGCGCCGTCTCCCTTACATCGTAGACAAGAGCCACCAGGAAAAGGTGTGGAAACCTTTCACGTTTTTATGGAAGGAAGCCTTTTGGGATATTCTGAGCTTGTCTAACACCCGTGGTTGATGTTTGTTTTGTAGCAAACGCAGCAGGATGTACACAATTTAAGCCTGCTTGGCTATCAGCTGAAGCCTAAAGGAGGGCGGCGGCGTTGGGGACATGCAGCTGGACACGTTAAAGGAGAAGACTGGGACAACTACGAGGAGACTGATCCGTCCTCCATCAGTATCCTTGGAAAACCTAACTTCTCATCAGAGAAGTCGAGACAAGGAGACGACTCTCTGAGCAGGTGACTCTACTGATCACTCGGGTTATGTACGAAGTGTTTAAAAAACATAAATCTACGACTGGTTTGCTTCTCTGCTAGCCTAGTGAACTAGACCAAATTCTTGCTTTGCAAAGTTTGGTCTAGGCATGCTCCATTTGGAACCTCAGCAGCTCGTACCAGGACTCTGGCTAGCCAATCACAGCTCTCTAGAGGGGTTTCAAACACATAAAGAGCTGTGATTGGTCCATAACTGTGGGCCAATCATAGTGCTCTATCTGCTTAGTGAACAAATCACAGTGCTTTATCCGCTTTGTGGGCCAATCAGGGCACTCTATATGCCTGGTGGGTGGGATGATGCAACAGAGTGAAACAAGAGTATGTCACATTCATTGTCCAGTGGAATGCGGAGATCATTTGAAAGACAACAGTAGAACCCGCCCCACAACCGAGAGCCGTCAATGGAGCATGGCCAGACTAAAAAATACATTTATTTAGTCTGGCTTGCCAGGCTACTTCTCTGCAGGTTTGGAACTGTTCTGGATTTCAGTCGACGCAGCGGAAAAGAAGATGCACCTTTAAACCTGAACAAGACTGCAGCCTATCAAGAGCCATCAAGAACGGCCTCTGCCAAGCAGCATTACCTGAGGCAGTCCAGATATCTACCTGGTATTATACGTTTCTTTTTTATTTGTGACTTTAATAAATATTGGTCAGTAATCTCTTCTTGTCTCCTTCAGGCATCAGTACTAAGAAGAACGTAGCCATGAATGCCAGTAAAGAATTCCCAGGAAGCCATTTTTGTGGCAGCAGCAGTATTGCGTTTGGAGGGACCGTGCCAAGCAGAGGAGCTCATGGTAAAGTTGTTGTAACCATTACCTTGCTTTTCCACCGGGTGCGTAATGTGGCGCGTAGTGTAAGCAGAGCGTGATGATGTCTTCCCCACAAACTCAGCAGCACGCACCTTCCCACCGGGAGCATTGGTCCTGCAAGGTCACAAAATCACCAGAGAATTGCAAGACCTTTCAGGATTTTGGCAGTTCACGCTATAACGAGCAAAGAGAAGGACGGTGCAATGTATCAATGTGATTTATTATCTGTTCTGTTTACAGGTAATGATGTAGTTTTTTTTTTTCATTATTCAGAGACTGGAAATCTCCACACTTTTATTTTGAAATTTTAAGGATGTTTTACACTGCTTCTGTGTTTGACTTCCTGTCTCTTCCGAACTGGAAGCGCAGCACGTAACTCTGAGTGAATTTAGCGAAGCTGAACGTCACACTTCTGGGATGCATCCAAAACACGACGTGACGCTTCGCAGGCGGGGGAAACGGACCCATTAACTCTTAACGGCGGCTAATTGCTGCGCACTACCTTTCGAGAACGTTAAGCAACATTAACACATCCGTGGAAAGGCCCGGTTATGACTCATCATGGTCAGCAAGATTCAACCTAACATTTTAATTTTAATTTAATTTAATTTTATTTTTGCTCATCAGGCACAAATACGATCCCAGGTGATTACATGCCATCATTTTACAAGAAAGACAACGGCTCAGTTGGTCACAGCAGAGGCCGTCAGGGTGTTTCCATGGAAACAAGTGAGCTCTAATATCTGTTTTTGCTTCTGTCTGATGACCCTTCACAAACTGTTTCCCTACACTTATTTATTTATTTTTTTAGATTATGCAACTTGGCGGTCTGGCCACATGAACCCATCAGCCGGCGTGTCGACAGCCAACAAGAGCAGCTCCAGTCTGCTGCCTCGCACGCTGCTACAGACCATTCAAAGATGACCAGACTGGACAGCCAAATACGGACACCGCTAGCAGCCATTTGTATTACAAACTCTCACTTCCAAAGAGTAGTTGTTTTTAAATTCTGATCTGTACATAAATGCTCTACAGCAATGAAGTTTTTTGGCTACTGTGGTATTTGGAAAAGATGAATTATCTTGTTTCAAGAAAAGAACTTAAACTTGGACATCAAATCTTCTTTATTCTGCTCTTACATTTTAAAGTGACACTGAAAAAGAGGGAAAAGCTGAAACTAAGTTTCCTTCTCTGATGTACTATTTGGCCAGCACCAAATCACACCAGAAGTAAACAATCATTTGCAAAAAAATAAAATAAAAAAATTCATTTAGTGCTTATAAACATTATAAGATACAAGAATGATGTTTGAGCACGTCTGTGAGATCATGCTTTACTGGAATGTACTTGGTGTTGTTAAAGTTTACATAATAATATGGTGTTTTTATTCTTTTATTCTGAAGGAATTCTTCCTGAACAATAGCTTGTCTGTTCTATGCGCCACTGAATCATGGTTAACCCCTGGAGATTCAGCTGCTATTGTTGAAATGTTACCTCCTGGATGCTCCTTCATTAACATTCCAAGAGCACAGCGCCGGGGCGGAGGTCTATTGACTATATTCAAATCAGATCTTGTCTGCACACCGATTACCCATCAATCAACTCCATTGTCTTTTGAATTAAGTTTGTTTGAATTGGGACGTTCCCCTCCATTGTTATGTGCACTCATTTACCGTCCACCACCCTATAACAAGGATTTTCTTAATGAATTTGCAAACTTCCTGGCAGACGTCTCCTGCAGATATGGAAAAATACTCTTGCTGGGTGATTTTAATATTCATGTCTGCTGTCCTGACAAACCTTTGGTAAAGGATTTCTTAGATCTTATTGACTCATTTAGCATGTCCCAACGTGTTAATGGACCCACTCATGGTCATACACACACACTAGACCTGATTTTTTGTCATGGGCTGCAAATTAGTGATCTTGGCATTCTACCTGCAACTTTTTCTGATCACTCACCAGTTGTGTTTAATATGAACTTAGACTCTGCCTCTCGTGTTGAGTGTTTCCGTCCCAGCTTCTCTCGAACAATCAGACCCAATACTGCTGCACATTTTGCTGCTATTCTTGCTTTGAATTCAGCTCCATTTCAATCTACTGATGAATTTACTGTTGTTGAGGGATTACTTCATGCGCTTGATTCATCCTGTCTGGCTGCTTTGGATATTGTCGCTCCATTAAAATCAAGGCGAAATACATCCCGACCTGACCCATGGCTGAACGAGCAAACTCGTTCCATGAGACAACATGCCAGAAGACTGGAACGTAAATGGATAAAAGACAGGCTTACTGTATCCTTTGAATCCATGAGAGAGGCGTGGTCTCAGTACCAAAGAGCAGTCAGAGGCGCAAGAAATCGATTTTTTGCAAGCATCGTAACGGCTAATTCTAATAATCAAGGTATGTTATATAAAACTATGAATGCAGTGCTTTCACCAGTTACAAAACTATTTTCCTCTGCGTCTGCTGACTTGTGTAACCAAATCCTGCAGTTTTTCTTAAATAAGATTAGTGTAATCAGAGCTCAGATTCACCAAACCAACCATGTTCCTGATTCAGTCATTCCCCCTCATGTGCAACTTCAAAGCTTTCAGCCCATCTCTCTGCCCTATCTAGAAAAAACTGTTGCTGCCATGAAACCGTCTGGCTCCCCAGAAGATGTTATCCCACCTCGTCTCCTGAAAGAGGTTTTTCCTTTCATTAGCCATAATGTGCTAGACATCTTAAATAGTAGCTTGACATTGGCTGAAGTTCCCTCTGCCTTTAAACACGCCGTTCTTCAGCCAATCTTGAAAAAACCTGGTCTCGACCCCACTGATTACTCTAATCTCCGACCAATTTCCAAATTACCGTTTTTATCTAAGGTCCTTGAGAAAATAGTGTATGAACAGATGCTGACACATCTAAATGACAATCAGGTAATGGACATTTTTCAATCTGGTTTCAGAAAACAGCACAGCACTGAAACTGCTCATGTTCGGGTGTTTAATGACATTTTTCTCGCTTTAGATTCAGGTTTCCATGTGGTTCTGCTACTTTTGGATCTATCAGCAGCATTTGACACGATCGATCATAACATCTTGATCACCAGACTTCAGACTTGGGCTGGCATTTCTGGTTCAGCCCTAGATTGGTTCAGGTCATACTTTTATAACAGGTCCGCTAGAGTCATGTTGGATGGCTGTTCATCTGAGTCACAACCACTCCGTTGGGGTGTCCCACAAGGTTCAATACTCGGCCCGTTACTATTTAACCTCTATATACTGCCCTTAGGAGCCATTTTCAGAAGGCACGCTGTCTCATACCATCTTTACGCTGATGACTGTCAGATCTACTTTTCATTCAAGCCAACTCAATCAATGCAAGTTCTGTCTGATTGTATCGATAATGTTAAGCTTTGGCTTGCTGATAACTTCCTCCATCTGAATGACTCCAAAACAGAAGTAATCGTTTTTAATCCTCACAGCATCCCGGCTACTCATCTACCTGACCTCAACTATCTCTCACCTAATGTCTCCACTGTAATTTCCAACCTTGGAGTTAAAATAGACCAGGCTCTGAAGATGGATGCTCAGGTCAATAACACAGTTAAATCATGTTTTTACCACCTCAGGCGTATCTCTAAACTTAAGCACATCCTGAGTGTCCGTCTTCTCAAATCAGTAGTCCACACTTTCATCACTTCACGGCTGGATTACTCCAACTCCTGCTTATACGGCATCAGTAAAGCAGCTCAATCTAGACTTCAGCTAGTCCAGAATTCAGCAGCTAGGTTCCTGACTGGAGTTGACAGAAGACAGCACATTACACCAATTCTAAAATCTCTCCACTGGTTGCCCGTTCATCTCAGGATCAATTTCAAAATCATGCTTCTCACTTATAAATCCCTGAACAGTCAAGCTCCTCCATATCTGTGTCAACTCGTCCATTACTACAATCCGCCTCGTGCTCTCAGGTCTGAAGATAAGCTCCTCCTAGCTCTTCCAAACGCACGTCTGAAAAGCCGTGGAGAAAGGGCTTTCTCTGTCTGTGCTCCCAAGCTGTGGAATGCATTACCACTACTAGTGAGGCAAGCACCAACAATTAGCATTTTTAAATCTCGCATGAAAACTCACTACTTCAACCTTGCATATAATACATAGTCATGGACCACTTTCGACATCTGCATTCTTTCTACAATAGAATGCACTATAATTAACATCTGTATTACTGTGGTTCTTTCATATGTTTTTTATCTGTTGTTTCACATTCCTTTTGTGTTTTTAGTGTTTTACGACTGTTAGTTCTAGTATTTTCTTGTTTTCATTTTTTTCTTATAAACTATGCTTTAAATGTCATTCTGTACGTGTTAATTAACTGTAATCTTTTAATGTACAGCGCCTTGTCTGGTTGTAATGCCATGTTGAATGCGCTTTATAAATAAAATGGTATGGTATGGTATAATCAACAAGATTTCCAGCATCTACAAAAATATTTGCCTGAGCTAGACAGGGAACTTCTACCTCGTAAGCTAAATAATGATTATTCCACTCAACTGTAGAGAGAGGTTGGCATTCAAAACAATACACGGAGGCATTTACAATATAAATGTTTTTAACTAGTGCAATCTCTGGCATGTCATTGATGACATCAGAAATAACCAAAGATTTTCCACAAGTATGCTTATTTCCATGTAGCATAATCCATGGTACAGAAACTACCTGTTCAACTTGCCCTATGAAGTCTTTAATCTTTCCTTCTATGTAGTGAACATTTTTCACCTCAGAGGCTGGACCCATAAGAACTTCACTTGAGAAAATTGGATGTTTGTTGTGCACATTCTGACTACATTCATAAAGTTGGTTGTGCTTCACAAGGGATTTACAAATATTCTTAAAACTACTTTTCAGAGCCCACTGCTTGAAGAAACAATGCTTTGACTCAAAGCGCATGCACATGTCTCACTGTAGGACCAAGTGCCTTAATCTGAGAAGGAATATCAATAAATAATGCTGCTTAGCCGAGTTTTATATTAATCTGATGCAAATATTAAGCAGGTTTGCTGAAAGAGGAAGTCAGATCGCACGTCCCAATGATAGGGTTCAGTTTGAAATTAATACTTTGCACACGACGCACCACGTTAATTTTAATTATGACGGGTCAAATATGTTAAATCAGCTTCAACATTTACTGGATCGATTAGTCCAATCAAATGAAGCATTAGCGGCCGACAACAAATTTAATTTCAGACTACAGGTGATAAATAACCCTTCTGGCGGGGGGAAACGAAAAATCGAAACCATTTTGGACCACGAATTAGTCAATAAAAAACGAAACCATCTCATCCGCCCTCCAGAGACCAATCAGCCGTTGTGTTTTGCGCTAAGCATAGCTGGCCTGTTAAATCCCTCAGCGAGAGATACAGAATTATTAAGTGTGGCAAAAAATATCCATCATCAGGCAGGGCTTCATGAACAAACACCCGTTTCATTCAGCGATGTGATTCGATTTGAAAATATTGTTCAAAGGAAAATGATCATTTTTTACAGATCCGACAAAGACATTTCTAAATTTGAAACAGATTTCAACGATCGGTCAAATCCGCTGTTCATTTTGCTACTGAATCAGCATTATTACGGAATAAAAAATATTAAAGGTTTCTTAACTCATTCACTGCCATTGATGACTAAAGTCGTCATTTTCAATACAACCGTTCACTGCCAATGACGATTTTAGTCGTCAATTACGTTTTTTAACGGGAGGTGGTAGGGAACAAGCTCGCGCACCCTGACAGTAAACACCAATCATCTAAAAATGATCTTCATCTGTGTGTGCATCAGTGACGTGTCACGTGATCAGGAAGAAGCCGATCCATGAAATAGGAGCTGGTTTTAGGAAGCCACTATGCCTAAGGCGAGACGCAAAGCGGATAATCTTATGCAGCTCACACTTCAACAAAGTCTGTTTCGCGGTAGCAAAACTTTGCATCGTGTTCCTATCAAAAGAAAAGATGACAACCAACCCGGGCCAAGCGGAGACGAAAGGCATACGCCGCAACATGTTTCATCTGAGCCAGAGACAGCGATTTCAGCAGACAGTTCCGACTCGGATCATTTTAGCGAACCTGACCCAGATTCTTCAGATTAATGGTTGCCGTCTGGACCAACCGGGAGCAGCAGAGATTCTTCACCAGACGATAAAAGAAAAAATGAAGAAGGTAACGTAACAGCTAGCTAACAGCTAACGGCTGTGTTATTTGTTTGTTGTGATCGCGTCATTCTTTTCTCCCCGCTTTCTCGTCTCCCCTACATTCATGAATGTCACAGTCTCCCCAACACTTGTTTCCAGCTTCTTTCTTTACAGATTTATAATGGAAATGGTTTGATTTTTGATTATTATTTGAAGATATTTTCAATTTACAGATCGTGCACCCAGAAAAGCTCCCCCTGCCACAACTAGTACTGCAAAGAAAAGAGGTTAGAGAGGCAAACAAACAAATAAATAAATATAAAAACAAACAAATAAATAAATAATGTGTGTGTGTGTGTGTGCGTGATTATGATTACAGGTCGTGCATCAAGCAGGAGTCGAGGGCAGGATTTGGACTGGGATGAGGCCGGCTGGCAACCCAACAAAATGCCCTTCACTGCAACCTCTGGACCCAAAGATGCTGCTGCAGACCTAGACTGTGATGTGCCAGCTAAGTTCCTGGAGCTCTTCCTGACTGATGAGCTGCTTGATCATGTTGTGCATCAAACAAATCTGTATGCAAGTCAGTATTTTCAAGCACACCCTGACCTACCACAACATAGCAGAGGTAATGCTTGGAAGCCAGTGTCAGTCTCAGAACTGAAAACTTTCTTTGGACTAACTTTCCTGACCGGCTATGTCAAAAAACCAAGCACTGAAATGTACTGGAGTGTGGATGAGGTGGATGCCACACCTTATTTCAGCAAAACCATGTCAAGGAACAGGTTTCAGATTATATGGAAGTTTCTGCATTACAATGACAATGCAAATCTGGATGTGAATGACAAAATGTACAAAGTCCGCCCAGTGTTAGATTACATTGTGGAAAAATTCAAGCAGATGTATCAGCCAGACAAAAACATTTGCATTGATGAGGGTATGATGCTGTGGCGAGGGCGCTTATCGTTCAGGGTGTACAACCCACAAAAGCCTGTGAAATATGGAATCAAGTCCTACATATTGTGTGACTCTGCCACAGGTTATTGTTTCAACATGAGGCCTTATTTTGGGGAAGGTAGTAGTAGTAGTTTGCCAGACACCGTATTTTCTCTTCTTGATTGCCTTTCAGGTCATGGCTATACACTGTATATGGATAACTTCTACAATTCTGTAGCATTGTGTGAGCGCTTACTGGAAGCACAGACCAATGTCTGTGGAACACTGAGGAAGAATAGGGGGAGCCTCAGGTCATCAGGGATTTGGTAAAAACCGATCTAGGGATTGGGGACAAAGTTGTGCGGCACAATGACAAAGTCATGGTAGTAGCATGGCAGGACAAACGATTAGTGAAGATGGTGACAACCTGCCACCAAGATGGGATGCAGAAAGTTAATGTGTGGCAGAAGGGGCACAAAGACAAGGTTGCTCAGTTCAAGCCAGAGTGTGTTGTTGCATACAACTCTCACATGAATGGAGTGGATAAGTTGGACCAAAACATTTCCTACTACCCCTTCATCCGCAGGTCGCTGAACTGGTCCAAGAAGTTTGTAGCCTACCTGTTCCAAATGTGCATATTTAACGCCTATATCCTGTACCGAGCCAGAAACCCAGGGGGATGTAACACACTTTTGAAGTTCATTCGTAGTGTAGTGAAGTCCTGGACCTTGAAGGTACACGAGCGGAAAGGGAGTGAGGTGGGGGAACAGGTAGAGGAAGAGGAAGGAGCAGGTGTTGAGGATGGGGACTTGGAGGATGTCAAACATACTCTGAGGGCACCCTATAACACTGACCCAGAGAGCAGGCTAGATGGAGACCTTGGCAGACACAAACTCTGTTACCTGAAACCCACCAGTAAGAAGTTGAGACCAACAAAAAGATGTAGGGTCTGCATACGCAGAGGAACTCGCAGAGAGACGAAAATGATGTGCAAAGTCTGTTGTGTCCCCTTGCACGCAGGACAGTGTTATATAGATTACCACACCACAGTGAGATACTCTGTCTCTGTGCAGGGGTAGAAGCGCGCGCGCACACACACACACACACACACACACACACACACACACACACACACACACACACACGGGTATAACTACAACAGCACTTTCTGTAAGATTGCATGCCTGCAAATGAAATTGTTACCTTTGACAAAAATGATTATTTATTGTTATACATTTGTGAATAAACATCTAATTTCTTGTCAAAAACCATTTTATAGTTTGGTTTTACTATTTTTACACAAGGTAACTGCTTTTGGGGTGTCTGAGGTGTAAAAAAAGCAAAGTATATTAGTGTCAAAGACAGTTTACTGCGTTACATCTCTCTTGACACAAAAAGCCTGTTTTCTCCGTTTTTGGTTCAGAAACAGGCATTTCTGGTGAAACCCACCTGTGTTCTACAGCAAATTGTGAAAGAACGGAAAAGGGTTAAAACGAGCCGTTTTCTCCTGATGAAAGAAGAGAGTTAACTCTTTCATTTGGTAGTTTTGGTGTTTGCATAGTCATAGAGCACAATATTCTGTGACTCTTCAAAAAACTGTAAAAATACTCAAAATCGCTGGCAGTGAGGGGCTTTAGTGATCAGAAAACAGCTGGCAGTGAATGAGTTAAGAGCCAAATATTTTTGTTCATGGTGTTTTACCCCATATCAAAATATGAACGGACATCACTGTAAATGGTTCTGTCGCGTGTGTAATACCGATTTATGCAAACGGGCAGAAACGTCTCTCATCACATGTTCTGATTGTAATCGAATATGCCAAAATGTAATATGTTTTCAAACTCACAAAACACCTGTTTTCAGGCCTCAAGCAGACAGGGCAGTTTCTCCTTGTGAAATGTTTAAAAAATGCACCATTTGTAAACAGGTTTATTACATCGCTACGAGTGGAAATGGCTCACAGCACGTTTGCTCCACCACAAAATGCATCGTTTGCAAACAGTCGGTGGTCACGGATGACCATCGCTGTTTCATTCAGCTTGAAAAAAAAAGATGACGGTTTAACGGAAAAGGTTATTTATTACGACACTGAAACGTTTACGGATCAGAACGGTGTGCATACACCTTTTTTAATCTGTGCAAAATCCGATTCAGGCGAAGTTTGGGAAAAATTTGGTTTAGGATGCGTTAAAGACTTTATTATGCAGATGAGGCGGCCTAAATACAACAATTATACATTTGTTGCACACAATGTGCGTGGATTTGATGCTTATATAATTTTGAGAGCTATGTGTCAATTAAAAATTGTTCCCAAAAATATACTGATGCAAGGTTGTAAAATATTGAGTTTTAACGATCCCGATTTTGGGTTGAGATTTATAGATTCGTTAAGTTTTCTCATGATGAAATTAGCCAACCTACCCGCTGCTTTGGGTTTTACAGATAAAACTAAAGGTTATTTTCCTCACAGATTTTCATCGCTTGAACATCTGAATTATAAAGGGCCTTATCCAGCTGTCAACGATTACGGGTTTGAACAAATGTCTCCGGAGCATAAAAATATATTTTTAGAATGGTACAACGGTGTGACTAAACATCAGCTGTTTGATTTTAAGAAGGAAGCGATGTTTTATTGCAGGAACGATGTGGAAATTCTGCGTAAAGCATGTGGTATTTTCAGAGAGGAGTTTTTTAATGAAACGGGGATCGATCCGCTGAAATCTGTCGCGATCGATTCAGCTTGCATGCGCGTGTTTAGATCAAAATTCCTAAAACCAGACACTTTGGCCATCCCTTGTCCGCTCGGTTATCGACCGCAACAAAAACCATTTTCAAGTTCAAGCATCGTGTGGCTAGAATGGGTTTCACACAGTCAAAATGTAGACATTCAACATGCTTTAACGCCTTCGGGGGAGCATAAATTGGGACCTTTCTTTCTCAACGGATTTGCTGTGATTTCAGGCGTTGACAACGGGTTTGAGTTTATGGGGTGTTTTTTCCACGGCTGTCCAAAATGTTTCCTCCCGTCAGCCATCTGTCCTCTGAGAAAAATCACTTTTGGTGAAATTTATGACAAAACCGTCGAAAAGCTTCAGGCGTTGGAAACTGTGCATCGATTAAAACTGAATGTCATTTGGGAACATGATTGGCAGGAGATGGTAAAAACTGATCCGGACGTGAAACAGTTTGTCTCAAGATTTGAACCTCCCCCTCCTCCTCTTTCAGCTCGTGAAGCCCTGTACGGAGGTAGAACTTGCCCGGTTCAGCTGAGGTGTACGGCGCAGAGCGATGAAAAAATTCACTATGTGGATTTTACGAGTCTCTACCCTTATGTAAATATGAGGCCAGAACAGTCTCAATAAGAATTAAGTCACACAACATTTTCCACAAATGCACACGTTCATTCGGAAATCCACACTCTGTGTTTCACAAATATAATTCGGAGGAACACAAATGCACACGCTCATTCTGAAATTCACACTCTTTGACACATAAATATAATGTGAAAAAATAAGTCACGCAACATTTTCCACAAATGCACACGCTAATTCTGAAGTTCACACTCTGTGGTTCACAAATATAATTTGTAAGAACACTTGTAATATAAACTCACAGATCATACGAATTGCTGAACGTGCATTTACGAACAGCTTCTCATTTGTGAACCTTTCTGCGTTTGTGAGTGAAATCTGTGTGGTGCATTCACGAACAGCTTCTCATTTGTGAACCTTCCTGCATTCGTGAGAGAAATCGGTGTGCTGAATTTTGAGACTCTCCTAACGTCGCAGATCAACAAACGTCACCATTGGCTAATGAATCTGTCAATCAAATATATGATTCTGCCAGGGCTGTTCGCTTTCAGCCAATCATATGGCTCCTTATGTTACGGAACAGATCTGCTGTGCGCATGCGTATTGCACACGGCAGAGCGGGATGGACCGGTCACAATCTGTGAGTAACACAGTTTTATCTTATTCCCTCGTTGTAATTTATGCAATGTTATAGAATTATGAGTAAAAGCGTTCTTCATGGTCAAGTAAAATGTTTTATGTTGAATTCAGTCCAGACATTACGTGAAGTCTGGTCCATTCTTCATCTAGTTTAACATCAAGCTAAACTCAGGCGAACATTTGTTTAGTTAGCGTGTCTAGGTACCATTTTTTTAGGCCACGGTTGTCAAACTCAAGCCCTTGGTCTATTTTTATTTGCCCCGCGAAATCAAATATCAAATATATAATATTAAAACTTGCCCGCCGGGTGATTTGCTGGTAAGACTACTAATCCCACAGTGCTTTGCGGTGTTAGCGTGCGAGACGAAGCAAGCCCTCTTTTATGTTCAAGAGCATCTGGCTGCAGACATCAGCTGCCGTCTACCGGAAATGACGTAACCGGAAAAACAAGCATCGGGTCATTACCTTCGCCGGAAGTCATTACCTTTGCAGGAAGTAGTACTCGAAAAACCCTACCGTGTTTGACAGTTCCGTGTAAAAACGGTACGGTCATTACTTTCACAGGAAGTAGTTTTTTTTTTAAACAAAACTTACCGGAAAAAGCTTTTTTTTAATTTTGGGTTTTTTTCCTCTTCAAATTTGGATGGACTGGCGATATTTATATATAATTACAACAAGAAAAGGCTCTAAAGTGAATTAAAAAAACAGATGGAAAAAATGAGAACACATTAAACTAAGACTTTTCAAGACGTGCAAACAAAATAGTACTTGCTAAATATTCAGTTTTATTGTTAAGCCCAAGATGAACTTTTGACCTACACCAATTGCTAAAGTACAGGACTCCCAGAAGCAGTGAAAAACATTTCAGCAACACTCCTCTCTCACCAGCAACAAAAATTGGTTACTAAATATCCATAACACTGTCCTATTGTGTATCACAGCAGCTCATTGCAACATAATTTAACTACTACAGCTGATAACTATTTAGCTAGTTAATATTTCTGTATTATTTTGAGTGAAAGACAATAAAACAAAAGAAACATTTCATTTCACAACCATTTTATTTTGTGTACAAATGAATTCTTTGAAGCATGGCTTTCTCAGCTGCATAACGATTCATCCCCTCTAATTTTTCCAACACTTTGATTGTCACCTGAAAAACATGCACACAAGAATGAAATCACACACTGTCAAATGTTTTCGAAAAGTAACTTTTATACCAATCAGTAGCCACGTTTACATGCGCATATTTAATCGGATTGAATGCCCATTCAGATTGAAAATTCTGCATGTAAACATGTCAATCAGAATATTCTGATCCGATTCGGCCCGATCGGATTGAAATTTCAATCCGATTGAGAGAGGTGGTTTATTCCGTTCTTCATTCCGATTGACGTGCATGTGCACAGCCATTCGGATTGTTGGGGTAAAACAATGCCCACTGCGCATGTGTGCAACAGCCAGCGGGCCTCTCCGCTGTCATTTGGACTGCCTGACTTCAAAAATGACGGTGTAATTAACAAGCGGCGGCTTTTAAATCCGACAACAAGCCGTCCCGTTTCAGTAATATTTAATTCAGAACTTGCATTTTGTGGAAGTAAAATAAAAATCTGATTATTGCACAAATCATTCGACAAAGATGTTCAAATCTTTACTGGAAATACGCAGGTTTATCGTGGGGGTTGCAGCGCACGGATCCCCGTTTCTGTCAGCTTTGAACACAGCAGCTTCTGCAGCAGGTGATGGAGACACGCTTGTAAAGAACACAGGATAATCTGGGTTTTACAGACCTGATTGGAGGCTGATGTTGGGTAGGAAAACGTCCTCGGTTAAATACTCTGGACGACAGTAAAGTCCGTGTTCGTTAAAAGCACGTAAACGCAGATGACCTGAGATGCGGTTCGTTAATGATGAACACAGGCTTCTAAACTTTCTGAACATCTTCTGTTATTTTGTTTGAACAGATTTTTCTCAACAGTTTCAGCTGATCGTCACATGTTATTAATAATAAGCCACAACAGAGCTCAGTAATAAAACATGAGGCTAACCCCCCCCCCCCCCACCCCCACCCCCGCTCTGTGCCGCAGCGCAACAGCTGTCAATTCAGACCTGCGGACCAGCTGATCAAGAGGCAGACATAACCCTCCCTTATTTTAATCAACAATAAAATGCAGCAAAGCATATATCTGCAGTTATTCACTGAAGAAAACGTAACTTCTATGAGCTAAATAAAAATATTAAATTGAATAAATGGATCAGGAAAGCAGGAAGAATAGTTATTTCTGTTTTTACATTTTTCTTTTCGTTTCATGGCGTTTGTTTACAATTTTTCTTTCGTGAAAGGCAACTCTGCGCATGCTCAACCTATTTAATCGGATTAAATGCTTGGTGCATATGTACGCACGGCATGATCGGATCATTTCAGTTCGTGTCCATGTGAACAGAGATTCGGAAATTCCGATCAACCAAGATTTCAATCGGATTGAGGAAATTAGGCACATGAAAACGCAGCTACTGCTGAAGACAGCTTTGTACCTCTGGAACAAGGACATCAAACACCAAGTCCAGAAACTGGAACTCTCCCTTCATTATTAGTTCATTTATTCCTGAGCATGAACCAATCCGCTCTGTCAGCTCGTCAACCTATAAAACACGTTAACATAAAAATGAACAAAACATTCCTCTCAGCATTAGACATTTATTTACGATATATATATAAATATACACACACACATATATATACGTATACACATATATACACATATATACGTATATACGTATATACATATACATATATACATATATATATATATACGTATATACATATACATATATATATATATATATATGTATATATATGTATATATATATATATATATTTTTTTTTTATACATATACATACATACATACAAAAATGTTGTCTTATGCTGAGAGGAATGTTTTGTTTGTTGATAAATGAATAAATAAATAAATAATGGACCCAGGTGGCCCACTGGCCATGCATCGAGATAAATAAATGTGATGCAGCTTATTGTAAGTCAGTATACATTTACCTGTGCATCAGCAAAGTGGAACATCAGAGGCTTTAGTCTTTGCTTTAATTTAAGCGAGACACCGGGATTGTGCCACAGGTACATGCGCCCAGACTTCACTCTACCGCTGCAGAGATCCTTATACAACATCTGAGTAGAGACAAGAGTTAAAAATAAGCAACATTACCACAGAAAAGAAGGGACTGCATTATCCTATGTCCAATTTTAGAATCTTAATTTATTATAACTAAACATTACCTTGATTTCACCATCTGAAATCACTGCCTGGGTTCCACTTTTTAAAGCCTCGATTGTCCTGTAAGTTAGATAAATATACATCTTATTAGCAAATGAAGAATACAAGCACATGTAAGTAGTTTTGTCAGGGTCAGTTGAAGAAGTCCGATATTCATTTTAGATCTATATTTAAGGCCTCTAACTCCTGAATGATTCGCAGCTAAATGTGCTTAAATCCGGCAATATTTACATAAACCATACCCGATCAAAGCAGTCAGTCGATAAAACATCTATTTTTTGATAAGGTTATGATTATTCTGAAATAGAATCAGAAGGAGGGAGGCAATAATTACAGAATCGGCTACTATTTCAAAGTTATTGTACCTGTTGCAGGACACCTGATTTGTGCAACCACAGTTGAATGACCCAGCTCTGACAAATGGCTTTCCAGCACACTCTGTATGCAGCCAGCCTTTACAAATATTGCACTGTACCCATTCTACCAGCTTCTCTTCTGGATACAATAGTCTGTAGGTGACAATGCAATACAGATTTGGAAAACACAAATTTAACACTACAATTTATCTTTTGTAATATTTTTCCAAGAAGAACTGTGAAATGTGCTATATTACCCACCGCTGTCCTGTATTTTCAGATATCTGATAGACACAGGCAAGTATGGAATTTGCCATACACTGTCGTGGTGTTGTGTCTGATGGCTCCATCTTAGAATTTTTTTTTTTTTGATATTTAAAAACAAAATAGTTAAGACATTCTGTAGCAACGAATGATGTAGCAATACATTTTTTTTTTCAAATTATGATAATCCTTTGGAAACAAACCTCAGCAGGCTCTTCAGCCTTTCGCTTCTTTAATTTGAAGACTGGGACATGGTGGCCAGCAAGGAATACTTTGCACTCTTCAGTCCAATGGGCAAACACTTTCCTGTAACTACAGCATGCACATAATCTATGTTAAATAACATGAATTAAAAATGCTTTCTTTGTTATTTAAATCCTACATACCTGTCAAGACTGTAGTTCTCCAGCAACAGCAAACACCACCACTTCCGCAACAAAGGCATGTCAAGCTGCAAGATTATTTTTGTAAGTTACACTCAAATTGTACATTCTGCTACCTACATGGTTTATGGTAAATGGCCTGTATTTGGATAGTGCCTTCTTAGGGTACTACAATCTCCCAAGGTGTTTCACAACACAATCAGTCATTCACCCATTCACACACACACACACACACACACACACACACACACACACACACACACACACACACATTCACACGCTGTTGGTGATGAGCTATGATGTAGCCACAGCTGCCCTGGGGCGCACTGACGGAGGCGAGGCTGCCGAGCACAGGCGCCACCGGTCCCTCCGACCACCACCAGCAGGAAAGGCGGTTTAAATGTCTTGCCCAAGGACACAACAGTAGAATTCTCTGGTTGGAGCCATGATCGAACCTGCAACCTTCTGATTAACGGATAACCCGCTCTACCTCTTGAGCTACTGCTGCTGGTTTATTAAAAAAAACTATTTTAACCATCAGACAGACACTTACTGTTGAGTAGTCAAATGGTGCATCAAAGGCAATGTACAGGACAGCCTACAAAAATAAATACAGTATTTTTACAATTTTTGAAATTGTCGGTATTCCAAGATGCTCATTGGAATTGATAAATCTTACCATCAACATAAATATGCCACAGTCATTGCCAAAGTCTTGTCTTGGAAGATCCTTATATTCGAATGGATGCAAATTAAATGGTTATTGTGCGAGTTTATCATGCCATCATAAAAAATTGTACACTGATTTTATTACCTTGATATCTTTGCCAGTTTTCTCTGTCCATTTCCCAGGATTTAGGTTCTGTGCAACATCCCTGATAATGTAAAATAGAAAAAAAAGCAAGCAACACAACTTTTAATTACACATGCAACAGCTTGGAAAAAGATAAATGTCATTTGAACGTGGCCGATTGAAGCAGAGGTCATTTGAACGTGACCGAATGAAAAAGAGGTCATTTGAACGTGACCGATTGAAGCAGAGGTCATTTGAACGTGACCGATTGAAGCAGAGGTCATTTGAACGTGACCGAATGAAGCAGAGGTCATTTGAACATGACCAAACTAACCACCACCAGCAGCAGGAAAAATTTGTAACCTCAAAATAGCCATGTACTGCAAAGCACCAAACCCGGACTCTGTCTTTGCATACAAAGAGTCCAGAAAGAGAATTTCTCTTTGCAACGGCTTTATCACCTATAGAAAACACACACTTCAATTTCAGCACATTAATTGACATCTGGAAAAAATTAATAATGGAAACTAAAATCATGTTTAGTGAGTGTATCGTTTATTTAGTTAAACAATTATAGTATGAATATGATTTTTACATAAAGAATAATAAGATACTCACACACAACAGAAAATGACCAGGTGTCCATAGAGGGATGAACACTGCATCTTTTAGATGACAGTCATTCTAAAATGTCACAAAATAATCAACTCCATGGTCTATAACATTTGTAGAGGTGACATAAATACTTACAGGTAGACTTGTCATGGGATCTACATCTGGTGACAACCACGTTGGAGTAACATACAGATCACAAATAAAGATGTTCCGACCCTATAAAGCAGACAAAACCATGCTAAAAGCACAACCACATCAAACATAATGCTGAATGTCTAAAGAGCTTTACCTTGTATTTTGCCACTTCTTCAATTATCCCTAAACAGCCATTTCCAATCTGGGCAGGTCAAACAAACACATGCAGGGGGTTTGAAATTGAGAAAGTGCGTGCACACACACAATCTTCATATGAACAGACACAAGGCAATTTAAAAGTAACTCACAGTGGCTTCCATGTCCCTTTGCAAGCCCAAGCCTAAAAAATCAGTGCGAGTCAGACATGCCTTTGGGGTACGAACAATCAGCTCCTCCCCTGGTTTGTTGTGGTCAAGGACATACTGAAGCTGAAATAATAAATAAAAAGAAGTAAAAACACTGCAAGCCCTAAACATCATAAATGTTAATTAAACAAACAAAAACAGTCAAAGTACAACTTATCTTACCACTTCCTTTTGAGAAGGATGAATTGGAAATGCCCAGCATCCACGATTTGGATGGACAAACGTGGCTTTTGTCAGGTGTTCACAGTGACTCCCACACTGCATTGGTTGCGTATGTTCCTCTTGGGTTCCACACACATCTTCATGCTTCCTCTTCAAATCATCACTATTATCCAGGACTGTTTGGCAATCTGTCTTTGCCATGTTATCTAAAAAGTTATATGACAGGGAGGCGTAATATCGGTTCAATTTGAGACATTACGACTACTTACTCAACATGAAAGTAAGCCATTAGGAGTTGTTACGTACATAATGTATGTATGAAACTTATTTCAAAGTTTAAAAAGACAATAGACTCACCTGGGTCTCCTATGACAGCTTGGCCCTGGTCTGTGACTCTGAAATGCTCAAGATTTTGAATTTGGTGACCGCGCATCAGTTGCCGAAGTAATAGCTTACTGTTGCATTCATTGTTTCTGTGTTCAATCAAGTTTCTCATCAAAAAGATGTGTGTTGATGGTGCCATTCTGTTGAGGAAATAATTGTTTTTCCTCATCTCAGCAAATAGCTGCTCTGCAACCTGGCTGTTCACAGAACCCTGCAACTCAGGCACAAGGCCGATCTTTCTTAAGATGTCATGTGGATCTTTAGTATTAGCCTCATGGAACTTGTCATAAAGTGCATAGTGATGGTTCGATCCAGTTATGGGATGTCCTTGTTTGTCTGGGTTCCTTGCTTTTTCAGTCAACCATGGCAGGCACACCTTCAGTTTCCCTCTTGCTGCATCAGTCAAGTTTTCTTTTGTTGGGTCAGCTAGTTTACCCTCATTTGGATGAAAGCGAGGGTTTTCAGGTGTCCTTAAGTTAGTGTGTGATGCCAGGCCACGTGCAAAGTCATACAGACACACATTTGGGAAATGCTTCCATGAGAGAAGGATATCTGCAAAGTCTCTGGGGCTTTCAGCTCTCAGATTAAATTTTAAACTGTACACAATGCCATGTGGACATAACACAACAGACCATCCACCTGGTGGGAAAGAAAGAAAGAAGCAAGCAATTTTAGAGTTATTATTCCAATACACAACATTTGGAATTGTCACTATTCCAGTGCTCCAATTTCAAGTGAAAACTAACCAGAGGCACCCCATATTGACTGGAAGACTTTGTCATAGGTCTGTCTGCTCTGCATTTTCTCCCTCAGCCTTTTAATCAGATCCAGGCGAGATCCCTTGGTGTCAACTTTGCATGTTTCACAAAGTTTTCTTACAGTAGAAACCTTTAAAGAAGTTATTCAGAAATACTATTTTGAACAAAAAATTTTTAAGGTACGTCAATGCAATCCTTTGACTGTAATTTAATAAATGCTACATTCTGTTTCAGCACAGTAACTTCACACAATTTTTAGAGAATTTTCTTGAACAGTCAACAGTGATATAATCAGTGATTAATATTATCAATGCTAATATTAGCAACAAAAATACCTTCTGTTTCAGCAACTCATCAAAGAGACGGTCCTCTGTTACATTGCTCAGCTCTGGGTCTGAAACTGATTTCTCCAATGGAATCTTTTTGTATTCGGTGTTCAACACACAGTCAGATTTGCGAGTTTGTTTTCCAATCCACGGTGCCCAGTTCTCGTAAGATGGGCAAACCACAAATGGATTTGTTGACGATTCTGTTTCAGAATATAAGACATTTACAAAGACATAACATTGAACTAGAAGCATTTCAGTAATATCAAAAAATAAACATCGACTAATTAATATGCTTACTTGGGAAAAAAGCTCTGCTGATCATGTCGAGATGTACCGCATCCCAGAAATCCTCAATATTGTGTACACCATCAAAATCTTCAGAGGGTACTTTCAGCTCACTCACTACAGTGAAAATTATGACCAAAATCACATATGGAAGTCTTCTTTGATAGCACAACACAAACACCTTAACTTACCTGCCATGCTGAAGACCCCTTTTCTGTGGAGGTCCATAATGACCACAGCTGGAGAAAACCCACAGTTCACACATGCATATTTGTATTCTGTATTGTTTAGTGCCTCAAAGTGACAATACGCCCGGAAGATGATGTCTGTAGGAGGGTATTTCTTCCCATGCATTTTCTCCAAAGACGTAATAGAGGTGGACACTGATACATGACTCTGAAGTGAATAAAATAAGTAACTTTATATTACACCAAAGAAATACATTTTTATTGTAACTATTCTTTTAAAGAGCAAGTCACCTCCTATCAGTCTTACTCAACTCCCACTTCCTGTTTGAAAAATGCAACAAATGCTGTTGCCTGGCAGACCGAGGGCAGAGCCTCTAACAAATACACACACAGGCTCACAACAACATTGTGACATCATAATTTACCAGCTAACATCATAGGGTATCTTCTTAGCCAATAACTATGGCAGATTTAAATTCAAATGTAGTGCAGAATTTTTACCTGAAGAGGGTGCAACACTGACAGTTTTAGGCAGAATATCTAAATTTTAACTAAGATGCACTAAAGTGCCCAATTATTGATTATGCATGTCTACAGCACGATTGCACACTCATTTATATAGTTTATCAGCAAAATAAAGGTGACTTAGGGGTGACTTGCTCTTTAAGTTATGGCTTTGTTACCTGTAGATTATGCCGCAGATAATGACAGAGTTCAAGAGTCAGGATGACTTTATCATTAAAGTTGTGGAGGCCATCCTGCCATTCTTGGTAGCGGTACACAACGTTACATTCACTGCATCTTTTATTGTAAGTTGAGATATCTGTACATGACATATCAATTAGAGGTAAGAAAAAACAATAGCATATATTATGGCATAAAATTATGTACAGGAGGAGTGTAAAATATATATATATATTACTTACCTTCTCTGACTCCTCTCATTCCAACAATTGTGGCTGTTTCCATTACCAGGTAGACATCACTCAGGGGAGGGCTACTTGAACAGAGCTGGCAACATGTTTCAGCAGGAAAGAGCTTTTCAGGGTAATCACTTGGACCTTCTACAACTTTTGTATGATCCATTATTTTTGCTGGGATCTTCTTCTTCTCGTAAATATACCTCACACTTCTTTCAAGATCTTCAGTGGAGTAACAATCCAGAATGATTGACATCTCCGAAGTTTCCCTTGTGGATGTAGAAGTCATGAAGAGATGTTTTCTTGTCTGGAAAAGGTGCCATTTAGCTATACCCTTGTGTGGACATGATGTACGAGGTTTAGAACAAGGGCAGTGCCAGGTGTTGTTTTCAGTGTTATATGTGACAATTACTCTGCCAAGTAAACTGTAGTAATGCATTTTTGGTTCGTGAACTGACATGCAGATGTGTCTTTGAGACCCTCCCAGTTCCACCAATACTGAAAGTGGCACACATGCTCCCTGTGCCACTTTTTGCCGGCTTTTGCAGTTCTCCACCATGGCAGCACCAAAGAAATGTGCAGACATCATCTCCTCAAGGACTTCCGTTTTAAGGATCTCTTCCTTTGCAGTCTTGCCACAATAATCCAATGACCTGATATGTTCGCACAGACAATGTGTAAGACCACTGCGCTGGGCAAGCAAGTGGAACTGTTTACACTCTTCAAGTTCACACTTTGTTTGCTGTTGATTGCCCCAGGTTTTACGCTGTACGTGTACTGGAGTAGAGAAACCATGTGAGGAGACTTTGCGGACAGCAAATATTCCATTCACTGGATCCACACATACATTTCTTAAATGGAATGACTCAGTAATGTCTTTTTTATATGTATGTTTTCTTTGTATATGTAAAGTTAGATTTTTTTGGTAGAGAACAAGTGCACAGTGTGGGCACTTAGCCATCTTTAAATTTTTAACCCGTGAAGCTTTGGCTGAAGAAAATATTTTGGATCCGTGTATTGGTGGTCTCTCTGGGGTGGACTCAGGCAATGATGTTAATTTCTCTGGGGTGAACAAAAGTTGTGTAGGTGATGGTGCACAATCACTGTTTTCCACAACCTCAGTCGAGTCACTAGATGTTAAAGCTAACAAACAGTAGTCATGGTCGTTCAGTGGTGGCGTCTCTGTGGTGGACTCAGGAAGTGATGCTGATTTCTTTGGGCTGAAAACACATTGTGGAGATGATGGTGCACAATCACTATTTGCCACAACCTCAGTAGAGTCACTAGATTTTAAACCTAGCAAACAGTAGTCATGGTCACGGAGCAGTGGCATCTCGCGGGTGGACTCAGGTTGTAGTGGTGGCCTCTCTGGGGTGAACAAAAGTTGTGTAGGTGATGGTGCACAATCACTGTTTTCCTCAACCTCAGTCGAGTCACTAGATGTTAAAGCTAACAAACAGTAGTCATGGTCGTTCAGTGGTGGAGTCTCTGGGGTGGACTCAGGCAGCGGTGGTGGCCTCTCTGGGGTGAACTCAGGAAGTGATGCTGATTTCTTTGGGGTGAAAACAAGTTGTGGAGATGATGGTGCACAATCACTATTTGCCACAACCTCAGTAGAGTGACTTGATTTTAAACCTAGCAAACAGTAGTCATGGTCAAGGAGCAGTGGCATCTCGCGGGTGGACTCAGGTTGTAGTGGTGGCCTCTCTGGGGTGAACTCAGGGGTGAACTCAGGAAGTGATGCTGATTTCTTTGGGGTGAAAACAAGTTGTGGAGTTGATGGTGCACAATCTCTATTTGCCACAACCTCAGTAGAGTGACTTGATTTTAAACCTAGCAAACAGTAGTCATGGTCACGGAGCAGTGGCATCTCACGGGTGGACTCAGGTTGTAGTGGTGGCATCTCTGTGGTGAACTCAGGAAGTGATGTTGACCTCTCTGCAGTGAACACAAGTTGTGGAGGTGATGGTGCACAATCACTATTTGCCATAAACTCAGTCGAGTCACTAAGTGTCAAAGCTAGCAATGTGTAGTCATTGTCGTGTAATGATGGCCTCTCTGGGGTGGACACAGACAGCATCGGGTTCCATTTTGGGGCCACTTCATTTAAAGTTGTTGTAGTGTTGCAAAGCTTCACATGGCGTTCCATTTGCTCCTTTTTCAGTAATGTTTTACAACAATATGGACAATGGTAATGAGCCAAACTTCTGCAGGGCATATTGCATCTGCAAATAATGTTTTCTGTAAGAAGAGAAAGAGAATTGTTTTAATTACTTAACAGAGCAACTATGTACAGCTTCAACACTTAAGTTAAAGTTCCATAGTCATCATCACACAGTAGCGAAATTCATCTACGCATTTGACCCATCCCCATGGAGGGGAGCAGTGAGCTGCAACTGTGGCCGCGCTCGGGAACTATTTGGTAGTTTAAAGCCGGGGCTTGGTGGGTCTAAAAGGCATGAACGGGCGGTGTAGTGTTCACATATAAATCCGAAGGACTTTCTCAGGAATGCAGAAATCCCCGAGCCGGTGGGCGGTACGCACAGGAAAGACCGAAGTGTCCTCCTTAATAAGATAAACAGAGGCAGGCATGAGCTGTGTTGCTTTTGGAGACCCTGAACAACATTATTTTATTTATTTGCTGTGTGTCCTCTCTTCCGGTCACTGACGAGGGATACACACACACACACACACACACACACACACACACACACACACACACACACACACACACACACACACACACAGCTCTCCTTCTTCTCCTGTTCCCACTGAGCGGCAGCTCCGTGCCACAGACAGAGAAGTTTACTCAACATCCTGCATGGAAATGAATGGCGCATGCGGGAACCCCCCACTGGCTCATTCTACTCGATAATCGGAGGCGATAGGCGTAATTTCAGCAGGCCAATCAGTCCGTAGTGTCCCAGTCTCACCACTGGGGAATAGGTCTGGGGAAAAAAAAAAAAGTCGCCTTGGAACGTATATTGTACCTGTGTCTGAAACCAAACTCCGGTACTGTACAGTTCCTTAAGGAGCCGTACCGACGCTAATGTGTAAGCGCCATAACCCCCCAATCCAACCCCTTAAAGCTGAGTGTCAAGCAGGGAGACATTGGGTCCCATTTTTAGGTTGTTGGTATGACCCGACCAGGAATTGAACCCCGATTTCCCAGTCCCAGGGTGGACACTCTACCACTAGACCACTGAGCTGGTGTAAATGAAAACAGATTAAAATTGCAAATGTATTTCAGTACCTCTATTTTACAACATGCAAAGAATTTTTTTTAATAGATGCCCAAATTTTTGAGGCATATGTACAAACTCTAACTACAAAACACAATTATCATAATCAGAAATGTACCTCCAAAATGCAATGCAGTGTTTATATGCCCTTCAAAGTGCAACTTTATCTTCTTCAGAGATGTTGGCTTTACTTTAGGACACAAGGGACAACCAAAATGTGTGCCAATGGCACATGCAGTCAGCTCCTTGCCCACATCAATCACGGAAATGTGCATCTGTGATAAAAAACCAAGTTTATATAGTTATTCATACATTTCTGAAGCAAAATAAATTCCTTTTTTTAGTTTTTATTTGTTATTACGTATTTTTTTCAGTCATTTAAACACAATAACTTAAAAATATTTAGAGATATTGAAAGCTAAGCTTGTGAAGAAAAAAAAAATTTCTGGGTGCACAGGAAAAGTTCCAGTGTGGACCAGATGCTGAAAAATAATTGCATAAATTTGTCTTTTTTAAGTTTCAAAAATCAGAGAAGTTGACAAATCACAAACTATTTTTATGCATTCTGCTACGAGCCTAGAATATTCTAGAACTGGTTTAAAGAGTATGTGTTGTAGTTTTTGAGCTAGAGCAGAATAAAAATGGTCAGAGAAGAGAAAAATTGGGTGTATTAGCCCTTTAGCCATTTCCCCGAATCGGAAGCTAACTTTAGCCCATAGCTTTAGCCTCGTATGAAAACTATTGAAACCACTTACAAATCTATGAAGATCTACGCTTTTTGATTTAAAAAAAAGGGTATTAATAACGTTTCAGTCAAGTCAGTATTAGAAATCATGGTCTTTATATCATATCTAAATTATATATAAAGTTAATAATATTAACTGTTTTAACAAACAGGGAGACCAGAAACATCGAATAGCTAAGTTAAAGCTAAGCTACAATTGCTGATAGCTTTATTGGTGTAGCTTTTGTGTTAGCTTGTGAACTCCCTGCATTAGTTTTAAGACTGTGTGTTAATATCGATACAATTAGCTATGAAACAAGGTGCCTTTGTAATAATTCTCTGGTAAAGCTTTAAATGCTATAGTGCCTACATTTAAGAACGGTTACAAAAATTAGTTAATGTCATCTTTACCTTTCCTCTTTGAAACCCGCCGAGTATGCTGAAACCGGTTGAAACCATCGACAACAAAAGCGGCCGCCAAAAAAAGACCAACTTCCGGCCGAGGTCTTTCGCTTGTCGATCTTCCGGTAAAAGCAATGACACGCCATCTTGTTCTCGCTAGAAAGTTCTTCCGGTGACACGCCAGCTGATGTCTGCAGCCAGGTCCTACTCTTTATGTTTACGATCATTAGCATCCATGCTAGTAGAATCAGCGTGTGCAGCGTTACCCTCAGTCTTAAACAACTGAAGATACTCCTCTAAGCGCCCAGTTTACTCAGCGAGTTTCCGACTTTGAACACCTAGAAAGAAGGTATCTGGCTGGAACAGGTGAGCATCAGAGTGGAGCGAACTGAGCTTGAAATATTTAATTGTCATGCACTTTTTCTGCTCCAAAGCATGAAAGTTAATAACTGAGATATTTTCATAGAAGATAATTGCTATTTTTGGTTTTTGTTGTTGGCCTGTGAAAAAAAAGATTAACTTACTCTAAAATGGGAACTGGACAGACTACAAATTGAAGAATAGAATAGAAAATCCCTTTATTTTCCCTCAGTTGGGAAACTGTGGTGTCAGCACACAGCAATTACATTTATTACAGGAGCCAAACAGGAGAGTAAAACATAATAATAAAGAGTAAACTAAAAGAAAACATAAAACTGACAAACTTAAAATATCCAAAAGGTAAAACAATCTAAATACTGAATATATACACATTGTAAGGAGTAAAAAGAGTAAATAAAAATTGAGACATAAGTAACGAGTGATGTGTTTTATTTAAAATGTACTTGCTCGTGTGTAATTTGGTCATATCAGATTCTGTGTTCAGATGCAAAAATAAGTTTCTTTCCAATTGAATAACAAGACATCTGTAAATAAACTTTTCAATAAATATTAAGTTTGGCCCGCAATTTTGTCCCAGTTTTTAATTTTGTCCCATTGTGAATTTGAGTTTGACACCCCTGCTTTAGGCTGTGCGTGCAGTAATAAGGAGACACTGGCTGAGCCGGTGCATAAATGTTTGATTTTCTGGCGGTGGGCGATAGTTAAAGAAATATTTAAAAAAATAAAATAAAATACATCTTTAAATTTTGGCCAATGAGCTCTGGCACATAATAAACAGAAATACTGCTTCATCATTTCATGTACCTTTGAATCTACAGTTGGTCTTATTTAAAAATGTTTTTTTTATTAAAACTATCATAGCTGGAGTGTTAAAAAAATAAAAGTGCCATAAGATATTTGGAAGTTGTTATTTTATTTCTATTACCCAACAGTTATCCAATCCATGTTTGTTCTTTTTTTTTTTTTCCTCTAGGAATCATTGAGGCGTGACATCCTTCAGAGGTTGTACGATCGACTGTCAAGCATCTTGGAGAGGCAACCTGTTGATGGGGAAGGGCTACAGTTTGCTTGTCACCATTATTTAGTTTTATTAGGTGCTCCAGGTGACATTGTTGATGTAGGAGAGGATATACTTTCTGCTCTTTCAGATCTGAATACTATTATCCAGCAGGAAAGAGATAATCAAAAGACATTAATAACGGTACACGTTGAAAGAGGTTCTCGTGGCCGCCCACGATTGGTGGTGTCACGAGAGGCTCTCGAACACCTTGTGGAAATGGGTCTGCCAACAAGTGTCATTACCAAACTCCTTGGTGTATCCAGAGTAACTCTATTTAGACGGATGTCTGAAAACAATATATCTGTATCTGCCACAAACAGTAAATGCAGTGATGAGGAACTAGATTCATTTATCACAGTAATTAAGAGCAACATGCCAGATGCTGGTTACAGGGTAGTCCGAGGTGCTCTACTTGCCCAGGGACATAGAGTACAGTGGGACCGACTGTATGCATCCATGCATCGTGTGGACAGTGCGGGTGTACTTGCTCGAATGACACGTCTGGGATGTGTAGTGAGAAGGACGTACACAGTTCCTTGCCCAAAGTATATGGTGCACATCGACACCAATCACAAGCTCATCAGGTAATGTCTATGTGTAATTGGAGATGTTATTTTTTGTTTTGGGAGTTGCATTTTTAATTGTCTGTGTTTTAACAGGTACAATTTTATTATCTTTGGGGGAATAGATGGCTATTCAAGGAAGGTGGGTGTTTTCATTGTCAAGGACCAAACAGCTGCAAATGTGTTTTCTGGCTATCTTCTGTTTTATACCTTTAACAACTTATATTTTGAAGTAAAGGGCTGCATAGGAATGGGTCCTAGCAGGAGCGGGCAGTTTGAACAGTTGGCTAAAAACCAAAGGGATTTTCAGAAATCCCAAAATATACACTTTTTTTTGGCATATTTGTAAAGTCAGTTAATGTAAAGGCTTGTAATAATCATTAGCCTTTACTCCTCCATATTGATTTTTAAATGGAAGAATATGATAGACAATCCCATGAATCTCTAATAATAGTCTGTCATGCCATGTTTTCTCCTGCACGATGAGTGAATACACAAAATCAGTGCATCTTAATTATATTGTGGGTAATAGTTCTGAGTGTCACGGGAGAATGTGCACTGTAAAAAAAGATTTGCTGACTCAACTTGACTCAGTCTAGTTTCCTTGTTGCTTTGACTCAGTTAAGTTTTGTCAACTATCACGATCAAGTCCAGAATACTTAATCAAAGGTGTTGAATTAACTTAAATTAAGTTGACTTGACTATTCCTATTAAGTATGCTGAACTTAAAATTATTAGTCAAAATAAACAAATAAAAATCGATATTAAGTTGAGTTAACTTTTTTGTTTTTGTTTACCCGACTCAGTTAAGTTACATCAACTAACTAATTGTAGTTCAAAGCACTTAATAAGAGCTATTGTGTCAACTTTAATCAAATTGGTTTGACTGCTCATTACAATTATAAAGAAATAAAAAACATGTTGGTTAAACTTAGTTTTTTGTTTTTTCAAACTCCTAACAAGTTGAATTGACTTATTATTTATATATTTTTTTTACATTTTTTGTAACAAAATAGACAAAGTCATTAACAAATTGGTTCTTAAAACATGCCCTTTTGAAAATGTTTACTCTTAAAAATAATTCAAGCCTTAACCAGAAAAGGTAAGACATTAGAAAAGCCTAATGTAACAAAGAAGTAAAATGTCTTTGCAAAGGAAAAAAAAAAGAAAAAAAAACATTTTTGAATAAAAATCTTTAAACAAGATGTGCAATCTCATAACAAGTCACAACAACAATTTAAACATCATTAAACATTTTTGCTGTGTCTAGTGACTAACTGCATTTTTTCGTTTCTTTTTAAAACACAGAAAAGGCTTTTTTACCTTGCTGACAGTTTCGTCTGCTGACTGCAAAACTTCATTAGAGCTGGGACGTTGATGGTGGCGTCACTAAACGGGAAGGAAGTGACACCACCATCAGCGTCACAGCTGTGAGTAAGTTTTGCAGTCAGCAGACAAAACTGTCAGCAAGGTAAAAAAGCCTTTTCTGTGTTTTAAAAAGAAACGAAAAATGCAGTTAAAAACAACACTTGTACATTTGTCACTGAAAATTTTAAGATGTATGGTTTAGTCACCACCAAAATTAACTACTGCACACATTTCTGTGCAACCGGTTTAACAAAATCATGTTATACTCACATCTCCATCTTAAAGTGATAGTTCACATTTTTTGACATGAAGTTGTATAGCTTCCTCACCACCAACATAGTGCATTAATTTACATCTCAAAAATAAATCTGCATGAATTTCCAACTTGATATTACGTGGGATATCAATTGATATTACACTCTTTGCATTGAAATCGATGCAAAACTTGCTCTGACTCCCCTCCTCCTCTAGATCCGCTGCTAGGAAAGTCACACAGCTTTATTTTTGAGATGTAAATTAATCATGCTTTCAATGGCAAATTGTTATGTGAGGCTGAAGTGCAGATACTGTACTCCAAACTAGCCGGGACTATGTTCTGGAATCACTTCTCCGGGGCAAGTCTCTGGCCAGGAGAGGGAAGGGGAAGATGTGTTAGTGTTAATGCACTATGTTGGTGGTGATGATGCTATACAACTTCATGTCAAAAAATGTGAACTATCCCTTTAAAGTCTTAAAAGTGAAAGGTTTTATGAGGATAACAAACTGAACTGAACCTTTAATACATGTTGACTTTCATTTCAGTTTTTTTCTTCAAGTCAGTCACACTGCAGCTGATGCAAACAGACGATACACTATAAAACAGTATCAGAGTTGAATGTTGGATTGAAGAACAGACTATTGAATACACAATACAGAAACCACAATAAACAACAAACTGAATTTACCATGGTGACATTACTTAACCTCCATTTCACCTGACCCAAACAAAGAAACAAACAAACAAAAAAACACCACAAATTATTTAAAGACCAAAAGTGATTGGTTCATCCCAAGCAGTTGCTTCACTTGAGAAGTGCATTTTTCAGGGAATGGACCCTGGCAGAGCATGAGTCGATCCCAAGTCCCATGAAAAGACGCTGAATTACTTCAAAAGTGTATTTCATGTCTTTGGGATAGTTGAGGTTCAGCACATACATCAGTCCCATCAGTGTCATGAAAGCATTAGGTAGGTCACGTAGGTGACGAATCACAATGTTTGCCTCAAGCACAATGGCAACATCAACAAAAAATGATGGTAGTGGTTCACTGACATCTTCTAAAACAAGGATTCCTACCACTATTCCCTTGATGAGATCATCTTCAGCATCAGTTGGCTTAATGGAAAAAAAAGAACATAATACAACTTTAGGAATAGAAAAACAACTTAGAATAATTGTTCTGCAGATTATTTTGTACTGTTAACCCTTATACAGGTGCTGGCCAGTAAATTAGAATATCATCAAAAGGTTGAAAATATTTCAGTAATTCCATTCAAAACGTGAAACTTGTACATTATATTCATGCAATGCACACAGACCAATGTATTTCCGATGTTTATTACGTTTAATTTTGATATTTATAGGTGACAACCAATGAAAACATCAAATCTGGTATCTCAGAAAATTAGAATATTCTAAAGGCCAATGAAAAAATGTTTGTTTCTCTAATGTTGGCCAACTGAAAAGAATGAACATGAAAAGAATGTGCATGTATAGCACTCAATACTTAGTCGGGGCTCCTTTTGCCTCAATAACTGCAGTAATGCGGCGTGGCATGGACTCGATCAGTCTGTGGCACTGCTCAGGTGTTATGAGAGCCCAGGTTGCTCTGATAGTCGTCTTCAGCTCCTCTGCATTGTTGGGTCTAGCGTATTGCATCCTCCGCTTCACAATACCCCATAGATTTTCTATGGGGTTAAGGTCAGGCGAGTTTGCTGGCCAATCAAGGACAGGGATACCATGGTCCTTGAACCAGGTGCTGGTGGTTTTGGCACTGTGTGCAGGTGCCAAGTCCTGTTGAAAGGTGAAGTCTGCATCCCCATAAAGTTGGTCAGCAGCAGGAAGCATGAAGTGCTCTAAAACTTCCTGGTAGACGGCTGCATTGACCCTGGACCTCAGGAAACAGAGTGGGCCAACACCGGCAGATGACATGGCACCCCACACCATCACTGACGGTGGAAACTTTACACTGGACCTCATGCAACGTGGATTCTGTGCTTCTCCGCTCTTCCTCCAGACTCTGGGTCCTTGATTTCCAAAGGAAATGCAGAACTTGCTTTCATCAGAAAACATAACTTTGGACCACTCAGCATCAGTCCAGTCCTTTTTGTCCTTGGCCCAGGCGAGACGCTTCTTGCGCTGTTTCTTGTTCAGGAGTGGCTTGACACACGGAATGCGACACCTGAATCCCATGTCTTTCATGAGTCTCCTCGTGGTGGTTCTTGAAGCGCTGACTCCAGCTGCAGTCCACTCTTTGTGGATCTCCCCCACATTTTTGAATGGGTTTGTCGTCACAATTCTCTGCAGGGTGCGGTTATCCCTAGAGCTTGTACACTTTTTTCTACCACATTTTTTCCGTCCCTTCGCCTGTCTGTTAATGTGCTTGGACACAGAGCTCTGCGAACAGCCAGCTTCTTTAGCAATCACCTTTTGTGTCTTGCCCTCCTTGTGCAAGGTGTCAATGATTGTCTTTTGGACAGCTGTTAAGTCAGAAGTCTTCCCCATGATTGTGGTGCCTTCAAAACAAGACTGAGGGACCTTTTAAAGGCCTTTGCAGGTGTTTTGAGTAAATCAGCTGATTAGAGTGGCAGCAGGTGTCTTCTATATTCAGCCTTTTCAGAATATTCTAATTTTTTGAGATACCAAATTTGGAGTTTTCATTAGTTGTCACTTATGAATATCAAATTTAAATGTAATGAACATTGGAAATACATTGGTCTGTGTGCATTGCATGAATATAATGTACAAGTTTCACGTTTTGAATGGAATTACTGAAATATTTTCAACCTTTTGATGATATTCTAATTTACTGGCCAGCACCTGTACATCATTAGGGACATTATTGTAATTTTGGGCAATAGAGGAAGTATTGTTTTTCCCATCTTGCTGTTAGGGGTGCAGCAGGCCATCATTGATCAGTGAGCCAAATGGATCTCTCTCTTTGGTTTGGCATGCATGTGGTCCTTTGGATCGGTCACGTGGAGGGAGGAGGTGCTACACAGCACAGCAATAGCATTATTAGTATAATAATAATAATAAATATTATTATTATTCATGATCCATTTACCGTATTTTCCGCACTATAAGGTGCACTTAAAAACCTTTGATCTTCCCCTGAACCGGAAGTGCGCCTTTTATGCGGACGTGAGTGAGGCCAGCCACATCTTTTTTTTTTAATAAATCTTTATTACTATCAATATCAAATAGTACCGTACAGTAATTTAAGGCCAGCCACATCTGCGTCCGCAGGAAAACGAAGAGCCGGCCCAAAGCACCGCCCACCCTCACCAAATAAGGTGTGGCACTGCTCCACGCAGTTATACCGGTTACTATGGCACCAACAAAGAGACACGCTTATGAGGCAGAGTTCAAGCTCAAAGCCATCGCTCACGCCGTTGAGCATGGAAACAGAGCAGCAGCGAGAGAATATAACATTAACGAGTCGATGGTCCGCAAGTGTAGAAAGATGGAAGACCAGCTGCTACTGAAACACCACAGAAGCCCCCCCAAAAAGGAAAACAAAAACTCTTCGGATTTACACGATTCACGTGAACACACCATTTGGCTTTAAAAATGGCGATTTTCGCCAAAAAGCTACAAGTTTGCACGTATGTATTAGACAATTTTATGATCATTAAAATTTTCAAGTTTGTGAGGTTGTGCCGGCAGTTGGGTTTGTGCCGTAAAGCCGTTCCGCGTTATAATTTCTGTTGTAAAGTACTCCACAAAGACATAAATAGCTGTGTCGCAACCGCAGATAGGACTGGCGCCTCGGTGCTTCTGGGATGCGTCGCAGCACTCCCTGTGTGCCCACGTCCATTAATTATAATGGGTTCTATTTAAAATCACAGTGTGGGCGCGACGCACTACGGCACGTCCGCCTCCAGTGTGCCCCACGCTTTAGGCTCCCAATTCACATAACACACCAGCATGTGAATGTGTGTGTGTGAATGGGTGGTTGACTGATTGCGTTGCTTGGGGGGAGGGGTGGTTGTAGAACCCTAGAAAGTGCTATACAAATACAAGTCATTTACCATTTACCAATTATGATCAGAAAAAAATTGACATGTTCCTATTAAATATGTATTCATGTATGCATTTAAATCACAAATGTTTCTTACCTCACATATCTTCAAGAGTGTGAAAGGATTTTCTTTCATGTACCATGGCAGGCCCAGCAACACAGCAGTCCTTTTTCTTAGGTTTGATGGCTGTGAAAAAGAAAGATATTTATATTTGTATTACTTCTTTATTTCAACTAGTATCTGAATGCAGTTTAAAAGTTTCCTCTTATTCAAATGAAACAATTTCACTTTAGTGCTGCCACGATTAGTCAACGCGCCACAACGACAAACAAAATGGTCAACAATAAATTTAATAGTACACACGTTGCTTTTTCTATGAGCATTTTTTAAATCTCGCCTGCTCTAGGCACATACGCAGTAGTCATCATCTGGGTCAGCCCATACTTGCCAACCCTCCCGATTTTCCTGGAAGTCTCCCGATTTTCAGTGCCCCTCCCGGAAATCTCCCGGGGCCGGGAGTTATTTACTGTAATATACTTATTACAGTTAAAAAAATAAAAGCGTTTCTCCTTTTCAACGGATGAGTATGTTACAAAGCCAAGCACATGCACATCGTAGCAAGCTAACATGCTGACCGAGGCCTTTTTGAACATGTTGGCTTCCTGGTTCTAAAAGCTATACTTTTATTAATGACACGATTAGTCGACAAATCGTCAACAAAACTGGCGATTTGTCTACTATTAAAATAGTTGTTTGTGGCAGCCCTGTTTCTCTTTAAAAAAAAACTTAAGAATTAGGACTATGTTCCGTGTCAATAAAATTTAACTTACATCGTTGTCGAGACTCTCCAGCAAAGACATCAACTCCTTGTTTCCCTCAAAACGCTTTGACCTATACAGCAGAAGCAGTTTCTGGAGATTGCCATCTAGGCCCTCATAGAAAGAATTGATGTCCACTGACATCAGACGTGTGAATTCCTTGACAATCTTTAGGGAGATGACAAATAAAAAAAAATGTAAAAGGGTTATAAAATACATTTTAAAATGGTAACTATATATACATTTAGATAGCAATAACCTAAAACACACCTGTCTTTCAGTAAAAAGGGCAGACCATCTGGCTTTCATTTCCACTACAGGTGGCTCTTCTTCTACTATCTCCTTTCTTCTCAGAGCAAATGTGGCATTCATGCCACTGTCAATGAAATCCAAGTTTGGCTTTGCTTTCGCCATTTCTTGGGAAAGCATCATTCGCTCCTCATCCAGTTTTTTTATATCTCTCCCTTGGGGAAGGTCTGGTAGAAAGTTTGTTTCCGACCTTCTGGTTTTTTTTACTTTGTTTCTTCTTCCTCGTGTATCCCCTGAACCTCTCTTATCAGAGTTTATCTTCAGTTCCTGACAGCCAGCATCTCTTAGCTTCTGCCTGTAATTGCCCATCTTAAATTTTAGACTTATTTTCCATCCATACCATCCTGATGTGGAACCTGGTTCTTTGAGGCAAGGGTGTTTTTCAACAAGGCTGTGGGCTGCTTTTTCAAAGTCTTCATTTGCAGGGTATGCCTTAAACGAAAACATTGTTTCTGCCATCTTATCCAGGATTTCAGACTTCATATCTTTTGAAAGAGTTAAAAGTTTTCCATGGGATTCAAAAATTTCATTTCCCTGCCTAAGCCTAAGTTCTACATCAAATGAAAAGGTGGGAACTGGAAATACTGTTGGCCAATGCTGAGAACGTCCTGAAAAAGAAACTGATTGGCTGCTACTTGTGGATGTGGAGGAGGAAGCTGACAATGTTAAATCAGAACTACAAGAGTCCAAATATGGCTCAGCGGAATCAGGGCAAAAGATGGCTTTCAGTGTTGCCTTGTCCTTTGAAAGATCATCAACACATGTCAGGTTACAAAAGTCTTTAAAGTCTGTGTCTTCATATTGAAGGTCAAAACACTGGTTCAGCTGCAGTTTGTTTTTTACATCCAGCTTAAGGTCTTCAACTGATTTAGGAACAGAATCCAGTCTTATCTTTCTGATGTCCTGAGGTGAAAGTATGACACGCAGCAGCATCTCTTTTGAGGCACCACCTTTGTTTTCTGTGAAGTATGCAAAAACACAAAAATTATTTAATGACAAGCTTTTGCTTTCTAAAATGTAGAGAAAGAAATCCTGGAAATTTTATTGCAGGGTACAATAATTTGTAAGTGATTTTGAAATGAAAACTAAATTATTCAAAAAGAAAAGGTCACAAATCTAACAAAGCAGCAGCACAGCGATGAGAACTTTCAAATAAGCTAGAAACATACACAAGCACATTCAATGTAGAAAAATAAAATCTGAAAATATTCCAGAAGGGTAGGGCTGCTCAATTTTTTATCTCAATTATAGGGATGTAACGATGCTCCGAAAATCAATTTGAAATCCGTGAAAAGTAGTTTAAATATCCATCATTGTAGAAAAAAAGGAAAACTGATTTACAACAACCACATATATTACATTTATTATTATTATTATTATTATTTATTATAAAGTGTGGGTAAGAATACTTTTGTAAGGCACTTAAGCCATGCAACACTGACTTGCCCAAACTAAACATACAAAGCAGTTCAATTCTACCTTAATGAAGTAGGAAGGCTTTTGGTGTCACAATCACTTTTCCTGCTCGTGTGTATGGATACAAAGGTTGAAATCCATTTAGTTCATGTGGTTCTACAATCTGAAGCACAGAAGGCTGCTTTTCCACAAGCTCATAGCTCTGCAGGTGCTCCAAGTACCACACGTGATATGGTGCAATGATGAATGACACTTTCCCATCTATTTATCGCAATTTTCAACAACTTCCCAAAGTCTGGTAATCCACTTGTGTGCCCCTTGGACAAAAACATTCCCTCAGAATACTTTGTGCCTTTTACAGAAGCATGGGTTGCTAGAGAAACAAATGTAATATCTCCATATTTCAAAATTAATGCCTGTTTCATATCGTCTTTCAGAGTTTTAGGGGAAACAAGTGAACAACGTTGAACTTCCAGATCAGGTTTAAAAAGACTAGGCAGATTGAGATAGTAGGCTAATGTGAGTCGCTGTTTTGTTGCCAAAGTTAGCAAAATGTTTTTGAAATTGTGAGAGGTATGGATAACCCTTTTAAAAAAAACTGTGTTTTGCCTCAAACCTAATGGTCCAAAAATCCACAACAGGCCCAAATCTTCTAATTAGGTCTGGGTAATGTTCTAAGTAATGGTGTTTTGGCAAGAGGTGAAAATCTGGAAATACCTCTTTCAACAGACACCTGTGATCTGAAATTTTACACCCCAGGTATGACAATGACTCTTCTGAAAAGTAACAGCTAGCCAAAAGTTCCACTATTTCTTTCAAATCCAGAATAATTTGCCAGGTTTTGTCATTTTCAGGTATAAGATGACCAATCATTTATGGAAGCAGCCGTAAAAGCATCCAGTTTTCATGACAGTTTCCACTGATGGAATTTTTCTGAGCAAAAGATTGTGATATTGGTTTTGGTCTATTTATTTTATCTGTAAACTTGAATGGGAAAGATTCAATGATGGAATTCAAATGATCTAATGTAAAGTACTGCTTTGATATAAGATTTTTCAGACACAAGCCTAATTCTTTAGGAAGAATACCTTCAAAAACATCATGCATAAAATCAGGAGGAAATCCTTGGATGGAGTGAAAATATGAAAGTAGGTTGAGAACACAGTCTCTTTTTACTCCATTAACTACATCTAACTGCTGACTTTTCAACTTCTGTAAAACACTTTCGTAGGTCTCAACTGTTCGCAGAGGGAACACTCTGTCCTTGACCTCAAATGTGTCAATATCTTGCCGGCTAGCTAAGCAAAACCGGCAAAATTTGTCAACATTAAAACTTTCTTGGAAACCAGCTAAAGAGTGAGACCCTAAGTTGTCTGCTGACACATAAAGCACAGTTCCTCTTATAGTTGTTCCCAGTTTCTGAATGTACACACTGAAAATATATGTAACTCTCATATAAGCTCTTTTATTATTCATTGTTATATGATACTTTTTTCATTATGGAATCATGTTATAATATCAAAGGCCTCTCTGTGCTTCTCTCCTGCATGAGCTCTAAACAGCTGCAGGAACTCCAAAAGGGAGTGAAAGTGTTCCTTCCTTCAGTTCCTCAATACAAGAACAACTGTCTTTGTTAGCAAAGGATGTTGCAGGATGTGTCCTGGTCATCTCAAGGTTGCATGTCCTTGGGATGAATTGGTCTTTCATTAACAAGGCTATTAGCTGATGTGCATCTGCAGGTGCAGATGGCAGAATCACGTGTGTGTATGGCAAACTGCGTATGTTACATTCCTGTGCTTGTCAATAAAAATCAGCCGTTTCAGCAGAACGGAGAGAGTCTGTCCGAAGCAACTGACAGGAGCAGATCGCGGGACCTGCTGAATGTTGCAAAGGCTCTCCCCCTCATGAGCGGTGAAAACAGTGACTGGACTTCTGATCATTTGTCTCCTCATTCTGCCAACTCAAAAGGTGTTTAACTCCATCTTCTCCGTACCCGTGCTTGGTCTAACAGCAGAAAGACCAACAAATTTGGCGTCACGTACAGGATTTTTTCTTTTTGAAGAAAAAGGAGTTTTTGGAGGACAATTTGACCAACCGACCCAGTGAACGATCTTGGCACAGAACACCGCGGTGGAAAACAAGGTGAGCAGAACCTTATTTCTAAAAACTGCTCATTGGATTTATCCAAAGCCTTTGTGTCCAGAATCATAGTAGCTGTGGTCCTAAAATAATAGTTGGAGAAGAAAGTGGAGACAAGTGCAGAAAAATAAGAGATTTTTTGTAATGGTTTAATGGTAAAATAAGATAAGGATTTTACAATGGTTTAATGATAAATGAGATAAGGAAATAGTACAGAAGAGGGATGGAGGCCCAGGGTTATTAGAAGAGCCCTAAAGTTCCATTTTCCAGGTCGTGGCTGACCACACTATTTGCTGACGAGCGAATAGAAAATATAACGAGGTTATATTAAGCTAGGGTAGGGCCTTAGGGGTGGGAACCCTAAAATACTGCAGGTCAGGGACCTGGTTCGGGTTAAGGCCCTGGGAGGCTAAAGAGAGCTCCCTAAATTTTGAAGCACAGGTCAAGGACCTGGTTTAGGTTAAGGCCCTGGGAGGCTAAAGAGAGCTCCCTAAATTTTAAAGTACAGGTCGAGGACCTGGTATGGGTTAAGGGCCTGGGAGGCTAAAGAGAGCTCCCTAAATTTTAAAGTACAGGTCGAGGACCTGGTATGGGTTAAGGGCCTGGGAGGCTAAAGAGAGCTCCCTAAATTCGAAAGGTCGATGACCTTTGCATGAGATGAGAAAAATGTTCTAAGGTAACTGTTTTTGCATAAAATGAGCAATGTTTAAAATATGACAAGCAGCCCAGTTGAAGCCACGAGAAATAAGGTTTTATTGAGAAAGTCAGCAGAAAAGGCGATGAAGGAAAAAGGGGTAGATGTTAACAGTAGAGGTAACTGGAGCAAGATTTGGGAAGTGAAGGCTGCAGAATCGAGAGAAAAAGGCACAGCTGTAGACAAGCTTCCTGTGTGTGTAAGCTGAGTTCAGCCTGTGTGTGTGAGGCGCAGCAAGAGGCTGCTTACGGCTCTGGATTGAAAGTGCAGCACTAGGAGAGTGCAGAATGCAGAGCCGAGTTTTGGGAGCTCCGTGTGTGTGTGTGAACAGCGCTGGATGGTGTGTGTGAAGGCCTGATGCGGTACCAGAAAATAAATAAATAAGATAAATAAGAGCTTTAAAAATTTGCAACTCTTATATGTAAATTACACTGCAGTGCTAAAATTAATGTTTGGAGCTACGCAAAATTCAAATTCTGCAACCCTGTTCTGATCAGTCTTTGAACAGAACACCATAAGTTAATAAATAAAAGGTTTTTAAAGTAACATATGTATATGTATGTGTGTATGTATGTATATGTGTATACATATATATACATATGTAGTGTACAAGCGTGATAATCATTTGTGTGCGGGGCAGCATGTGAGTGACCCCGATCTGGGGGTTAAGTGACCTGGAGATGAAAAAAGGGAAAAAACCAACAAGAAACGCAAGTAAGGTTGTAAATGACAGCTTTATTTTAGAAATATAGTCAGATAGCTGCTAAACAGTAAAATCAAAACAGATCTGCAGAAAATAAATATATAAACTATTCCTCAGAGCGCTCTCAAAAAATTGCAATTGGATTTGCTCTAATGTTACATAAGGCCTGCTTGAAAGCATAGTAAGCATTAAATTCTGAAAATAACCAGTGCAGTGTTAAATAAATTCTGTGCTTAAAATATTATATATATATATAGAGAGAGAGAATAAATAAGTGACGGACTGACTTACTTTAAAAAAAAAAAAGGACTGTGACAAACAAAGAATGTCTCTGTGCCTTGTGAATGAGTGAATGCGTGTCTTCTTGCATGAGAAGTAAATGCTGCTTTCGCTGGATCTTCTCCTGAATGACTCAGTTTTTAATAGAGGGAGCAGCTGCTTGAGAAACAGGGTGCGGTCCATGTTTTTGCTAGACGGTTATTTAGTTCAAGAGACTGTGGAAACAATAGAAAAAGAATTTATCGTTAGTGTGATGACAAGTAAATCCTTTAAAATACAAAAGTTGTATGGTTGTGGTTATAAAGGAAGTATTTTGTCTGATTATGGGCCGTGGAGTCAGCTGGACTCCCTCGCTCTCACTGTTTTTCTGTGTAACATGCAGTTTTAAGCAATTTGTGACTTTAGAAAGGATATTTTTCGGTGTTTTGGACGTACCTTAAGGCTTCTGGTTAGGGTATTCAGGAGATCCTTCCTCTCGGACAGATCTAGTGAGAATGACTGGAGTTTCAGCCTGGGGACCTGACTCCACCCACTTTTACACACAAGAATCCTGTAGTCTAAAAATAGCACAGGGTGCTGCGAAAAGCAGCTCTGAACTTCTCAGGATCATCTTTATGAAAAGCATAAAATTAACAAATAATCTGTCAGGAAATAAAATATTTGTTAAATCTTGCTATAAAACAAAATCCAATAATTGTCTTGCCTCAACTTTAAGAACCATTAACGTTAATGGCTGGATTTTGGGACGCTGAATAATGAAAAAACAGATAAACTAAGTATTATTTCCTGTAACCTGGCTAGAAACTGTACCAGGCTGTTTTGAGTTAAAAACTGGTAGTTATTTTCCTAAAATAAAAATAGATAAATAAAAAATGAAAGGAGGGATCTTGCATTTGGGATAGATTGTGCCTAATGTTTAAAACCTGTGTAGAACTGATTTGATGATTCAGAACAAATTGTGCATAGGAAGTAGTCTAGATTTACCTTTGGGTCAATAAAGTTGACTAATTATTAGAAACCATCGTTGATTTTGATTTGTAAAAAGAGAAAGTTCTGTCATTTCAACCCAATCAACATATTTAAGGAAAACGTTTGCTGTGCATTGTGGCGGGCATGAACTTTACTGGGTGGGCCTGTCACAACCAGCTGCAAAGAATGTTTGGGTCTGACTTCTATACAAAGAGAACCTGGAAGCCCTCACCAAAAGCTGTGACTTATAACATCAAGACGGGGAGCACTACAAGATGGACAAAGAGGCAGAAACTTATTTGCCCTGCTGCTGATGAAACAAAGTACAAAAGGGGGAGCATGTGTGCTAACATGTGAACTTTAATCAATGACGGTGGTCATCCTGGACTTACAAAGAGAGGCTCAAAAGAGACTGTTTCCTATGGTTACACCCAGTAAAAGAGTGCTTGCTGCAGTCAGGTAATGAACAAGGCTTTTTGGCAACAACCAGTTGAATTGATGAAATGTCAGAACTGTGGAAAATTTACTAAACTACTGTAGAACATAGTTAACTGAGAAAGTTAGCCTAAAAAAAAAGATAATAATAATAACAATAAATAAATAAATAATAGGATTAGTAACCTGGATTTCAGCCCAACTCACCATTGGACGTCAATATAATCTTTATTGTCTTAGGATTCTCAGCTGCAGCGGACATGCAGTAAAGCCTTATTTTCTTTTCAAAACGGAATACATCAGCGTTATCACTTATTTTCATTGGTTAAGGAAACGGTGTCTATTTATAAGTCTAGGAGAACGCTTTAGGCTTCAACAGTTCTCTCCTTCGAGCAAACATGCGCAAATTTCCGGACAGTTTATAGTAACGTTCCATCCCATTCCATTCATTGCATAAAAATAAACATTAAATGAATAATTTGGCATTCAGCTGACTAAATGATTCACGGAACATCTCATCCGAGACAACAGTGTTGTTTCAGCTCCGTTGAGTTTCCCAACAGATCTAGCCAAACCTAGCTGATCCTATATTTTTCTATCAGCTGTAAGTTCTAACGTAGAAAATAATGTTACAAAAATATTGAATAATGGTACCCCTCATTCGATAAAAATTATGTTCACATTTTTATCTTGTGAAATCTTTAACATAATATTTTTAATTGGCCTTTTTGACGACAATTGGCTAAAAAGTCTTTAAGATTATCATCACGGGATGGCATGATAAATAAGTAAATAACATAAATAAATAAATAGATAAAAATAAGAGAGAAAAAGCAAAATTAATTAAATGAAACGTAATAGTAATAAAACATTAAATTGATCTAAAATCTGTCATTCAGTGCCACTGGAAAAAGGAAGAGGATAGGGGAGTATTTCTTAGCACAAATCACGTTATTGATTTAGCAATGCAGCTTAATTTCAGACGCTTTAAGGATGATACTAACTTGTGTTATAGATGGAGGAGTAGCACAGAAACACACTTCTAAATGAGGAGATAAGGAAAAACTGCTGATTACCAATACTATGCACAAACAAACCTGTAACTGCAGTCTCGTTATTTACAAATTAACCTTAAGTAGTGAATTAATTCTTAGGATTTCTTGTGCTAGTAAGGTTCTAAAAAAAAAAGAAGAAAGAAGGTAAGAAAGACAGGTGGTTTAGGTAAGGGACATTGGAAAACCTGAAACTATTTTGTGAAATTGATAGTAAAGTGGTTGTCCTAATTTCTAATTGAAGAGATCACATCGCAACGTGAGTTTAGAACAGCAGTTATGGGAAGTTTTGTTGGATTAATTTGATCACACGCTTTAGGTCTTATTTTTTCTTTCCACTGATTTAGCGTTAGGTTAAGTATTTCACACTTTCGCTTCAGTCTGACATTTGCTTGGTGTGTGAGGGCACAGAGACGTGTATGGACCGTGTGTTTGACTGTGTTTGTCTTGTTTGTTTGTTTATTTATCTATATGGGCATGGCCGAGCCTTGAGAAACATCAACAAAGCCATTGGACTATTCTGAGTAAATTGACCAATTCAAATTCAGGATCCTGAAACAATTTGGCTATAACCTCTAATTGATGAAGGACATCTTAAGAATTCATTGTACAAGGCTTCCTCTCCAGTGTTGCCGGAACTGTTATAAAACCCATGCATGGTTGTATATTTTAGTTTGATCATTTATACTCATTGAATTATTGTTGTTTGCTTTATGTTTTAATTTCTTTGTAATTTTTTCCCTGTGACACAGGTGGAGATGCTGGTGGCAAAGTGGATCCCACTCATTTCTTTCTCCCACACACATTCTTACTCTCTCTCTCTCTCTCTCTGTGTATGTGCATGTGTATGTGTTTGTGTGTCTGTGTGTGTCCATGTCGTGATGTCACTGTACCTTTAATTGCGCTTGCTGTTCGTAACTGTATGTGTCTGATGTTGAAGGTATCAGAGGCTAGGGTCAGTAAGAGCTAGGACATTTTTGTGCATAACCTTTAATCCCTAGGCGATCGGTTCGGGGAACTTCTGGTCCGGCCGGAGTGTGAATCTTCCTACCAGCTATCTGCCGAGATCAATTGGACTGCACAAGCCGAGAAAGCCTTCATTGGACCACAACCACACACACGAAGATACTTCGCCTTCGGTGCCAGGCGTCTGGGTCCTGCTGAAGGTCACCAAAAGAAAGTGGACGGAACCGAGGTGGACCGGACCCTACAGGATCACAGAGAGGACGTCACACGCTGTCCGGCTGGACGGCAAAGGAGACTCCTGGTACCATTGGACCCAGTGTGCTGCAGCGGAGGAGCCACACCGTGCCCTGACCGAGGTCCAAGAGAACCTGTCACAGAGGGAGGAGCCTAACCTGGAAGAGAAGCAGTTGACATCTGCCTGACCTAAAAAAAAAAAAAAAAAAAAAAAAAGGGACCCAAAAACCAGGAAGAGAAGTAGCTGACTACAGTAGCGTGCCAAGCTACCAATTCTGCGGGACGAGGTAGCATGCCAAGCTGCCACCACATCCAGCAGGACGAGAATCTTGATATCATCACCCCCTGCAGCTGCCTGGAGCCAGTGGAGGGACCTCAACAGGGGGAAGAAGTAACCACCATACGAACATTCTACAAGGGTTATATTTTACACCCTCATTTATTTTACAAGGATTGATCACCATTGCCATCTCTCCTCCACCTGCTGACCCAATTATCCAGATGCCCTTGTTACTAGCCAATCCTAACATCTATTTGGGAAGGGAACCCTCTGATGATAGTGATGACTCTCATGATGAAGAAGATGATGTTGGAGTGTGAGAATGTTCAGTGATTTATGTAACAATCCCTTCACCTGTTCATTTCTATGAGTTTTTTGATTGTGTTGTTTTTATTTTTTTGATCATTGATGTCCTAGGCATGCCCACTCTGTGTCAAAAGGCGTTCGCCCCAAAATGGGGGGACATGGGGGAATTTTCCCTATTAATGTACGACAATTAGGGTTTTTCGCCCTCATACGGTGAGCATGCGATCCATTCATGTTGTAACATGTTCAGTTAAAAATATGATCATGTTTTTTGTATTACTTTACTGCTGGAAATATGAGAAGCTGTAATCTGATTGATTGTTTGTATTTGTATTTTAAAACTTTGCTTGTTGGATTCTTTTTGATGGAATTTGGTGTTATTGTTTTGATTTCTTATATCTTTATTGAACTCTTAAAAGAGTTCAAAAGGGGGATTGAAAATATATGTAACTCTCATATAAGCTCTTTTATTATTCATTGTTATATGATACTTTTTTCATTATGGAATCATGTTATAATATCAAAGGCCTCTCTGTGCTTCTCTCCTGCATGAGCTCTAAACAGCTGCAGGAACTCCAAAAGGGAGTGAAAGTGTTCCTTCCTTCAGTTCCTCAATACAAGAACAACTGTCTTTGTTAGCAAAGGATGTTGCAGGATGTGTCCTGGTCATCTCAAGGTTGCATGTCCTTGGGATGAATTGGTCTTTCATTAACAAGGCTATTAGCTGACGTGCATCTGCAGGTGCAGATGGCAGAATCACGTGTGTGTATGGCAAACTGCGTATGTTACATTCCTGTGCTTGTCAATAAAAATCAGCCGTTTCAGCAGAACGGAGAGAGTCTGTCCGAAGCAACTGACAGGAGCAGATCGCGGGACCTGCTGAATGTTGCAAAGGCTCTCCCCCTCATGAGCGGTGAAAACAGTGACTGGACTTCTGATCATTTGTCTCCTCATTCTGCCAACTCAAAAGGTGTTTAACTCCATCTTCTCCGTACCCGTGCTTGGTCTAACAGCAGAAAGACCAACAACACCTTGTTGTTCAAGTATTTGCAAGTCTTTAATCAGTGGTTGTAGAACTGCATCATATCCATGTTTTTTAACATCACTACTGTGACACAGACAAGCAAGATAGATTGACTGCACAGATGACCTGCAATCCAAAGGCAAATTCGACAAGACCCAGTATACAGCGCAGACTTTGTGGATTTTTTTGGATGTCCCTAGTGAGTTACAGGTTTCAAACTCATCTATATAAAGCCCCAGAGCAATTCGTAGATCTTTAGATGTAAAGAAAGTATTGTCTTTGTAATATGAACTGTCCCTGTATGTTTTATACTGGCAGTAGTGGCCCTTGGTTCTGCTGTGCTCAGCTTCAATAATTTTATCTAACACATCATTACGATTTAGTAATTCAGACAGCACTTTTAAAATTGGAATATATGCAAATTTACGATGCAAATGGGCATCTAAAATATATTCTACTGCCTCAATTACTTTAAAATGGGTCTTGTAGTATGTTGTTCTTTTGTAATCGGAGCAAAAAGGGCCGTTCCTTGACAGAAAGCTTAAAGGGTTAGCTTTTTTAACAATCTCTGTTATAGCTGCAGTGACAGAACTATTAACAACACAGTTATGTTTGGTTATAACATTTTCAATAAGTTTTGGGGTGAACTCTTCTAAAACTAAATTTAAATTTGTTAGCTCATTTATTATTTCCTGAGTAGTTGCCTTTGAAACATGTAAAATTGTTTGCATACGCAGTAGGAGGGAGGCAAATTGGTGCTGAAGTAAATCACTTAGATCCTGATCATTTAATGGCTCTTCAGTTGTTAACGCATGAGAATCTGACTCTATCTGTAATTCATTTTGAAAGCCCACATTCACCAAAGCGCAATTCCTATGCAAGTTTGAACGAAATTTTTCTACAGAACACTGTTGATGCTTCTTACATTTATGCGCACGAAAAGTGCTATACACATTTGACTGAAAATCACAGTCTATGAAAGGGCATTTCACAGTTTCTTTGTGGTTTAAGTGTTTTTTTAAATGTGCAAAATATTCTGTAATTGTGCAAGTCTCTGAAAAGCAGCAAAGTTCACAAATCAAATTTAAAGTAGCTGGATTTTCAGAGGAAGAACAGCTGTGATCTCTAGCTAAATGTTTCCTAAGGGAAGATTCAGTCCTGAAGGAGCACACACAGTCTGCATAAAGACATGGAAGAGGAAAATGTCTTGCCTGAGTACAATGCTTCAATTTATGATGGGTGATTAATGTGCGACGGTTTGGTGAGGAGAAACTACAGCACTTGCAGAACCATCTCATGAAGACCAACACCCAGAAACAGCCAAAATGAGTGGTGAAACCTGAAATAGACAAAATAATAAAAGGGAATCATCAATAATGAACAAACCTAGGAGTTAAAACAGTATTAAATGTTATATAGGTTCTAGCATTTGCATGCAACCACTAACTTCAGTAAACATACACATAACCATGCATGTAAGAGAAGGCAGACTTGATTATTAATTAAGTTAAATGATTCAGTTGCTTTGGGATGGGGAATTATGTGGCTACCATGACTGGGTCAGCCTCTAAAAATGTTCTAGTAAATTATTTTACATTATTCACATGCTCAACAAAAATAAAAATATAACCTGAGATGCACAATACAGGCAATCATAAGTGTAAGCTTTATAATATTCTTTGCAACAAGAATAAAGTGCTCAGTTGATGTTCTTGTGTTTAAATATTTGTACTGGTGTTTAGTTCTTTTCATATTATCTCTTTCTCTCACTCACACACAGACGCGCGCGCGGACACAAACACGAGCCATCCTTCCTTCTCTGCAGCTCAGCAGTGCTCAGTGGTCTTCAACAAGCCCAAGAAAAAATAACTACACCCATGCGCGCGTGCCGCTTCTTAACGGTACACCATGGAGAAATATGTCCGGTACACGGTGTCTAGTTTGAGGCGCGAGTTCATAATCCCATCCTCTATTGTGCGGTCAGCTACACCGAACCGGACTCAGCCCGCTCCAAGTATGGCATATCAAACCCTAACCATCTCGGATGGAGAGGGAAAGGGTCAGCAGGTGAGCGGGATGAGAAAAGGGGTTACTCAAGCGGGAGAGTGTCAGCTAGCTTAACCGCACTGAGAGCGGGAAACCACAGGCGAACGAGTGAGAGGAGAAAATGGGTTTTTAATGCTGTAAAACTCAAAGTTTTACATTTTCCCCCGAAATTTTCATAAAATCGATCGGACGAACGGGCAGACAATACCAACTTTTTTACCGGGTGGGGTGGTGGGAGTATATGTGCTCATAAACTAGCTAGTTCAACAAAATTAAACAGAAATACTGTCACGGTCTGAGGTATTTCCCTGCTGTCACTCCCTGTCTTTTGAGTTTCCCTCTGCAGGTGGGCGTGTCTGGAGGTGACCAAGCTGCAGCAGATCTGCTCATCAGCTGGCCAGGGGTATTTAAGCAGCTGGGAGACTCCTACACTTCGCTGGATGATTACTCTACCTGGGTACCTTCTAACAGCCACTTGTGAATTTTATTCGAGCTCTGTAAACTCTTGAGAATTAGATTTGTTTTTGGATTTTGGATTTTTGAGAGTTGATGTGTTTTTGGATTTTGGATTTTTGCCTTTGTGACCTCCTGCTCTTGTTCCCAGACAAACCTACACACTCATCTCTGACTGGCAGAACTCTGGAGCCCACACCATTTGGATCTCCAACTCCGCTCGTCTCTCAGCCTCTCCCCTGGCCAGACCCGCCTCCAGCTGCCCACCTAACCTCCCTGGACCTCCCCAAGCTCAGCTCCCTCCACGTTGAAAATATATGTAACTCTCATATAAGCTCTTTTATTATTCATTCTTACATGCTACTCTTTTTATTATGGGATCATGTTATACTGTTAAAGGCCTCTCTGTGTTTCTCTCCTGCACAAGCTCTTAAAACAGCTGCAGGAACTCCAAAAGGGAGATGTTTCTGCTCATCTTATAATTACAAGTTCTTGTGACATGTTAGATCCTGCCTAACAAGGCAATAAATATATAATAAATATATATTTACCTTATAAGCTCATTTTATGCTATAGAAACTCACTCAGATACTCAAGGCCTCCACACAAAGATTAATAGCTGTGTATCTTTTCCTGCACCAGAGAAAGGAGTGTACACATTCCATCTCCACTCAGTGCCTCTCCGCACCGTGAATGTATCTTCTCCTGTCATAAATGTATCACGATGTTCCTGGTACTTTCAAGGATGAATGTTCTAGACTGTCCGCTAACAAGGCTGTTATTTTCACCTGTCATAATCATTGACGTATGTACATGGCAAACTGCGTATGTAACATTCCTGTAATCTTCAATAAAAATCAGCCGTTTTCAGCAGAACGGCGAGAGTCTGTCCGAAGCATCTGGCAAGAGCAGGTCGCGGGACTTGCTGCAGAGACTCTCCCCCTCATGAGCGGCGAAACAGTGAATGGACTTCTGATCATTTGTCTCCTCGTTCTGACAACTTTAAAGGTGTTTAACTCCATCTACTCCGTACCCGTGCTTGGTCTAACGGAAGAGAGACCAACAAATTTGGCGTCACGAACAGGATTTTTTCTTTTTGAAGAAAAAGGAGTTTTTGGAGGACGATTCGACCCACTGACCCAGCGAACAGATCTTGGCACAAAAACACCGCGGTGAAAAACTAAGGTAAGCAGGCCTTATTTCCTAAAATCTGCTCATTGGATTTATCCAAAGCATTTGTGTCCAGAATCACAGTAGCTGAGGTCCTAAAATAATAGTTGGAGAAGAAAGTGGAGACAAGTGCAGAAAGAATAAGAGATTTTTTGTAATGGTTTAATGGTGAAATGAGATGAGGATTTTTCTAATGGTTTAATGAGTAAATGAGAAAAGGAAATAGTACAGAAGAAGGGATGGTGACCCAGGGCTAATAGAATAGCCCTAAAGTTCCATTTCCAGGTCGTGGCTGACCACACTATTTGCTGACGAGCGGATAGAATATATAACGAGGTTATATAATGCTTGGCTGGATCCATAGGTGTGGGAACCCTAAAAGTCCACAGGTCAAGGACCTGGTTTTATGTTAAGGGAAGGGGAGGCTAAAGAGAGCTCCCTGGATTTTAAGGTCAAGGACCTGATTTTTGTGTTAAGGGAAGGGGAGGCTAAAGAGAGCTCCCTGGATTTTAAGGTCAAGGACCTGATTTTATGTTAAGGGAAGGGGAGGCTAAAGAGAGCTCCCTGGATTTTAAAGGTCAAGGGCCTTTTGCATGAGATGAGAAAAATGTTCTGAGGTAACTGTTTTTGCATAAGATGATAAATGTTTTGACTGCTTCTGTGTGAAGAGAGCAGTGCTTTTGGCTATTTCTGCGTGCTTTTGGCTGTTTCTGCGTAAATGAGCAATGTTTTTTGGCTGTTTCTGCATGAAATAAGCAATGTGGATATGAAACTGTATTTTTTGACACAAAACACACACTATAGTTAGAAAACACGCTGAATGAATGTCAAGTCTCAATCAGCTTTGTCGGTAAAACAGATGGAGCTGACTGATTAACTTGAATTACATAATAAAAGAGACAGAATAAACTCCAAATGAGAGTGAATAAGTCTCTTTAGGCTTAGCAAACATATCATCTGCACTTACAGAGCAGATAGTAAGAATAAGTGTAAAAGCACATAGATTTTTCATATCACAACTAATAGAGATTAGTTGAATAAGCGGAAATCATCACACGCTCCGCAGTTAAAGATGGGTAATGAATGAATGAACTGTACTAACAAATTGTATGTGTAAGTGAGAGAAATACAGCGCGCCCTCGTGGATGCTCTAGGCAAGATTTCCTCACCTGAAACACAGGTTGAAGAAGGAAATACCACAGAGGTCATTGGCGCTGTCTCACTAATCAATACTGATGAGTTTAGAGCCCCCTATGGGCTAAACCCCTCGTCAGTCCAGATTGTCACCAAAAGTCAGCAACATACAACATACTAACAGAATGATGGAAAAAGAACATGTTTGTGAAACGGAGAATGATGGATGGGGGTCTGATGACATTCTGAGCACACTGGGAGAACAATTAGCTTGTATGGAGACTGTGATAAATTTGACAAGCAGCCCGGCTGAAGCTACGAGAAATAAGGTTTTATTGAGAAAGTCAGCAGAAAAGGCGATGAAGGAAAAAGGAACAGATGTTAACAGCAGAGGAAATTGGAGCAAGATTTGGGAAGTTAAAGCTGCAGAAGCGAGAGAAAAAGGACAGAAGGCTGCAGAGAATCTGAGGGGAGCTGGAATGTTGTCAAAGAAAAAAGCAAAAAGTGAGGTTGACGAGCAGGCAGCTCGTGTGAGTAAATACATGCAGTGGATAATGTTATGGAACACCGCCAGACCTAATATGAAGCGCGTAAGAAAGGAGCATCCACCTCCTTACTCTTCTACTGCTCCGACAGCTGGAATGTATCCATTAATTAAAGTTACAAGCGGTACATTGGACATTCAGCCTGAAGTCCCACTTGATAATGAGAGTGAGTGGTCAAGTGTAACTATGACCTCAGGATCAGACGTTAAAGTCAGTCCAACAGCCCCTGAGACACACAATTCTTATCTGAGAAGCAATGAAACATTAAACAGCATTCCGTCTGCGAACAACCCAGCTGCGCCGTTTGAATTAAGAGCTAAACGACAGGAAATAGATAACTCACAAAAACAGTTCACCACTCCCTGCTTCAGTCAGGGCCTGGTTGCTCCTGATTACAACATGGGTATGAGCTCCCATGCTCCCCCTCCAGCGCCTTGGGCAAACTGCCCACCAGTGTGGCCTATAGCACCTGAACGAAAGCAAACACCAATTTTTTCATCCTCCCAGCTAAAAGGTGAAGAGCAGGAAGACCCTAATAAAAGTGTAGTGGTTAAAATGGTTCTGGTGGGACATGAATCATCTGATCCCCCTCTAGCAGCCAGTCAGAGTCATAAATCTCTCCCAGAGGAAGAATGGCAAGAACCGCCCAATAAGGAAGAGTTTGGGGGAGAAGGGGATCAGCTTTCCCTCCCTCCATCCCCAGAGCCAGAAAGAAGACACACTAGGTCCATGGGACCACCCACTTACCAATTACCCCTGGTGCAGAATAAACCCAACGCCCAGAAAGTCTATCAGCCGTATTCCCTTGGGGACATACAGGCTTTAATAGATAAATTGCCAGACATACAGGAGGGTGGAAACACTTGGCTCTCAGACTTTGACACCCTCACTGCTGGACAGGATCTTGCATTGGGAGACTTCAGAGCAGCAATCACTAGATGCACGTCACGCTCACAGGCGGAGGCCTTAGAAAAGGATGCTGGCACAACTCGTGATCCTAATTCTGTACCTCTCGGTAGAGTGATAGCCCAATTAGGCCCAGCTGTCAGAAAGATGTTTCCGCTGAAAGATAGCAGCTCAATGTGCAAATTCAAATGGGATGCTAAACAAAACCCTTCAATCTACCTGAACCAAGCCATTGACACCTGGGTGGCCCAAACTGGCCAACACCCATCCAAACGGGGCACGAGCAGCATGTGGTTTAAAAATGCAGTCCTGAAAGGAGTCCCTGATTCGGTGACTCAGAAGATGGAAGATAACCCTGATTTGCAGGATTGTGATTTTAGCAAATGGAAAAAACATCTTATTTTTAACCTTAATAAAATGCAGGTGAAGGAAGAAAAAGACTCTGATAACTTAGAAGATTTACAAAAACAATTGCTCAGGGTCCAATTACAAGCTGCAAAAAAGACTTTAGGTGAAAAGGGGGACAAGGTTAAGAAACAAATGGTTGCGTCCACAGCCACACCCCCACCACAGCAGACACTTCCTGATCAGGTTTCACCTATAGCTTGGCAGCCGCAGCCACCATATTCAGGGCAGCCACAGCAACAGCCACAATATTCAGGCCCATATGTAAACACACCCAACCCATATGCTGCCCAGCGACCACCTTTTGCTGGTCGAACCAGAGGCGGTTTCAGGGGAAGGGGACAGTGGAGGCCAGTAGGCAGCAAAGGGGGACCACGTGCACAAGACATTTGCTTTAACTGTGGTCAACCTGGACATTGGTACAGGAACTGCCCCTTGCCATAC